CTAGACCTAGAAGTCAATCACGACCTAGGTATCAGAACCAAGGGTGGAACAATGGTTCAAATAGCACTCGACAAGTTCGATTTGCTCCTCGGCCAACTTATGGCAGAGAAAAATTCAATAAAAAGAAAAATTAATAAAAACCAGAGCAACAGAGAGAATGTAACAAGACGTGTTAATACTCTCTCGTTGACATGACCATTCACAATAACAATTGTTATGGCAGTATCCTGCTGTCTTGTTATGCTTATCATACGTACGCTTTTCAAAAGATTCCAAAAAGAGTGTTAGTGTAAAATCAGTTTCAAAGACTAAAACATCTCCAATCGTTGAAGCTTTCAATAAATTAAAGAAATCCTTCACAACTTCCTCACTTTCGCCAAAAGAGAGAGAAGATAAGCTTCGCGAGTACGTGCAGTCTGAGCTCAACAAGTCTATTGAACGTGCTCAACAAGCTGCCAAAAATCAATCTACACCTTTTCCTCCTAGAAAAAGCGTAGATAATTTAGAAACAACTTCAAACCAAGCTGATCTAACTTTCGCACCTCAGAACTTCTCAACCCCATCTTATTTTCAAACACTTTCTGCTGATCAAAACACTTCTAACATTACATCTCGTTCCGTATGGAGGGGTTATGCTCCTTAACGCTCGCACATCCTAGAATACCTGACAATGTGTCAGATACCCTGGATGCTATTAGACTTCCATGTGTAGCGGTTGCGTTTGCGAGCGCACGGAAATAGGTGTCATACTATGTTTTACTTAGACAGTTCAATATAGGAAGTTAGATTGTATCTTATGCAGCTTGATTCCGTATGGAACGATCTGCTAATACTTTTGGCTTTATAACTAATGAGTATCGAAGTTCATCGGACGAAGACGACATTACTTATAACCCGAACGAGGAATTCAATACTCCCCTCGGCAAGCCAAAGGTACGTTTTTCGAAAGATTCCAAAAAGAGTGTTAGTGAAAATTCAGCTCCGAAGATTAAGAAGTCTCCAATCGTTGAAGCTGTGGTTATGCTCTTATTTTTATTTTTAGATTCGAGGTTGATTCGTTACCATCTACACTTCCAACTCTTTCAGGTGAAAATGATTTGGGATTCTCAAGCTTTCAATTGTGGTTTAGACGGACGAAAAAAAGTAATTTTTAAAAAAAGTAAAAGCTTTAACGGTTGGAAACTTCTTGATCTTCACTAATGTTTTTCACTTCTTTTCAGATTCTTTTGAAGCTTACTTGTGTGTTGGCAAAATGAGTAGTGCTATTAATGGGCCTACTTTTAGGCAACTAAGAGAACGAAAAGAACGACAACTTACTGTTGGAACTACTGCAGACGACACCATCAAATACCAAAGCTCATCGGAAGAAGACGACCCTAAATAGAACCCGAGCAAGGATTCCACTACTCTTTTTGCCAACACACAAGTAAGCTTCAAAAGAATCTGAAAAGAAGTGAAAAAACAGTAGTGAAGATTAAGAAGTTTCCAACCGTGTAAGCTTTTACTTTTTTTAAAGCCGTCCGGCTAAACCACAATTGAAATCTTGAGAATCTCAAATCATTTTCACCTGAAAAAGTTGGAAGTGTAGATGGTAACGAATCAAACTCAAATCTAAGAATAAAAATAAGAGCATAACCACAGCTAGTTGTGGCAAACGCCTTATTGATCGTGGCATTAGCGACACATGGGCGCATAAGCGTCCCATATTATCGACATTTTCTGTCTTTCGCGGCAAGATAATGTTATTCTCGATTGTTCAAAGCCTACTCTGTTTATACTTATAGAGCTTCTACCAATACAGAGTCAATCCACAAATCTCCTTTTTTTCGATTTACCGGTGTAACGGACAAGCATGAGGATGCTATACTCGGACATTCATCAGAACCTTTAGGTAATCATGACAGGATTTATTATAGGCATATATTATGTTTATTATGTAAGCGTGAAAAAGTGAAAAATGAAATCGTATAAACGACTAATAAGACTCGGCAATACTGGAAAATGATTTCACGTGAACGACCGCTGTGAGATATTGGACAGAAATAACTGTTTTGGGGCGATGAAGCATGTCATTGTCCATAAATGGCAGAATAAAGTCCACCGTTCGCATTGGACATAGACGGTCAAGAAGAGCTATAAGAGGATGTGACATGGCAGATCGTCGTATTGGAAACTTACTGCTAATAGCATGGCATCCTCTCATACTGTTAGATCTTTATACCTTAACCAAGTTCAGCTTAGCTTCGTCGGGTATGTGGGAGACAAGAGATAGAAATGGGATCTCACCCTACAACTATCCGCTCGATTGATCGGACGCGATTACCAGAGGGTATTTTCTAATGAAAATTGAGTCGCTATCTTCGCTTGTTGAGTTTCGTTATGTGAATTCAATGTGCAATAAGAATTGCTCTTAGTGCTATTGTACAAGATTGCTGAAGATTGAAGAGATGGAAGACGTATTCATTTGATGAAAATGTAAAGTGACTATCGCTTTGCAAAATACAATTGTTAAAAACAACAAAAATACTTAAAATTAGTTAAAACTGAGTAAAATAGGATTGTGGAATGACCAATCTTACTTCACTTAATGGGTTAATTTACAAGCTCACAACTTTTCTTTTCTTTCACGTGATATAAAAACCCGGTAAATATTTGAAGCTCTGATATTTTCTTTGTAAGTAAATATACATTAGGGAAACTAGTGAATATCTCATGTTTATGATATATAATCGGACTGAACAGACACGCTGCCATCAAGTCTGCCCATGTCATCTGGAAAATGTACAGATCAAGAACGCCTTTCTGATTTGAACGTACCCTCGGACCGACAAGCCAAGGTGACGAATTGCATTTGAGTAATGATTCGATGACAGAACACAGATTACGAAGTATGGGCCAAACATTTTCAAACTGACAAGATTCCTGTAAGTATTAGATAAGTGTCGAGTATATATATCAGGTTCCTTTACATCGCACTCGTGTTCTTCTCGATGTTCAATATGATCCAACCAAGGTTTAAGTCGCATTCGTGCCTCAAAGCATAAATCTTACCAAAGAGAATGAATTGCAATTTCTCACCTCGTATAACTTTTCAGCTACCATATCGACGAGAGAATCTTCTTCCGCAGTATATCCAGACAATTCTAAAATAAATAAAAAATAATGGATACGAACTTCATATCCTACCATATCTCCATGCCAATTGACGGCATATGGATGGTACGCAACCTAATTTACGATTGTTGATTTCTAGCATGGGAAGACAATAAAAAGGATAATCTAAACGATTTGTTGAGAATCAAAAAAGTGAATAGAAATACCTTCTAGAATATAATCATCCCGATCCACAGTTTTACTGACATATGGGATGTTAGCATGAGCGAATATCATTCGAATGATTTTGGATTCCTCTTCATCATCGAAGTCATGCACAACGAACTCGGGAATATAGAAGTTCATGTTGAGCTGAAACAAAAAAAAACTAATTGTATTTCATCAAAATACTTGTAATTCTACCTTTTTGGGTAGTGTTTCAAGAAAGGCTGTAACAGATACTTGTAAATGTTTGTAAGAAGTTGTATCGCTTTTCTGAAAATCACAAAAAAAATTTAAAAAAACGAGAGAAGGCAATCATTTGTCGGAAAACATCAAAATTAGATGAGACATTTGCTACCTTTTCAACTGAAAGTCATTTGTTCTCTGCCCGACAGACAAAAAGATTTTGAAGTTTTTCGTCTATTGAGGGGGAAGTCGGATGTTGCAAGCAAGAGATAAGCCTCATTTTCTTATGATTAGAGAGAGCGAAAGATACAAATCGATAATGCCAACTTGATTTTACTAGTTTGGAAAGAATCGCGAATCATATCGGAAAGATATAAACAAAAATGATGGATGATTGACCATTGCTTATCAAAATCACTAAAAACATGCAACTTCAAGAAATGAGTGTTTTCATGAAAAAAAATCTTCATCAAAGATTCATAGTGGCTGCTGTTTAATCCGCAGACCATGGAATGAAAATCGAAAAAAACGAAAAGTGGATAACAGAATTGCAAAATATGGTTGAAAATCTGGACATAGAGAGAGAGAGAGATAGATAGAGAGAGAGAAAGAGAGAGAGGGAGAGAAGAAAACTGGCAGGACATTAAGGCAGAGAAGGGGCAAATAAAATAATTGATAATTGAGTAAGATTGATTAATTAGCAGAGAATTAAAGTCCGTAAGTACATTCAACTGCCATACTCGGGCTTGTTGTCTTCTAATCAATATGAATACACCTCAGGTCATAATGACTGATACGATTTGAAGAAGGAAACGATGAAAGGAAATAAAACTGTAGTAAAATCAACAATTAAAGAGAGAAATAATCAAAACATTCGTATGTTCCTACTCTCTTCGTTTCATTTACTTGACTGAGAGTTGAAACGGAAAAGCCGAAAACGAGGAGGAAGCTCGGCGCGTTTGTCAGTTGGCAAATCAAATCTGCGAGAAAAAAAGAAGTTTTTTGAGCGGGGTATCATATGAAAATGTGTTACATAGTGTCTGACTAATGAAAGTGAATATTGATTGAACTGAAAGTCCAAATTAATACTTTTGCTTTCTATTGTTTTGACCATTCAGGTACTGAGATATACGGGAGGACATAGAGAGGATGAACGATTATCTCATACCAGCTTTGATTGAATGAAAGAACAGATGATTCGGACATAAAAATGATCAGCAACGTTTGTGAATAACCAGATGAAGCGGAAAGTTTCTATTGGATCGCTCAAATATGGTTAAATGAAAGTGTTTAAAAGACTGTTTCTCTTGATGACAAATTTCGAGTTCAAATATAAATAGTAAGCAAACGAAGAGAGAATTCGAGAATGGGAAAAGGAGAGAGAATTCAACAACATGCAACCGGTCGATAGCCGGACGACAATCTGTTTGGAATACGTACGTCTTCTTGATAGTTCTGAGGTACAACACAAGGTCAACTCTATCTCACCAAATATGATTTTTGAATGATTAAATAGAAGCATTTCTTTCAATATTCTTCAGAATTAATTTCATGCAAGCGTAAATCTATGGAGAACAACTAGTTTCTCATAATCTTTTTCGAGATCTTCGTCTATATTCTCGTGCTAGTGATGGGAAGTATCTCTCTCTTCGTCGAATTACAAAGCAAACTGGTGTTTAAAGGTTTAATTATAAAATTTTTCGAAAATCTTCAATTTTTTATGACAGAGCAATCATTAGAGGAGCTTGTCTTATGTTAACTAAGCACAAGTCGTGTAAATAGCTGTCAAAAATCAACGTTTTGAAAAACGTTGCAGTCGAAAGGTGAATCTGGTCATTACACATTCATCTTAGGTGATTGAACTACAAAAGAAAATAGAAATTGACACAAATTAGGTTATAAGATAAACATATATCGAATGTTCCAATATATTGAGTGATAAGGATGAATACAAATCATCATCTTCTCCTAATCTCACCTTTTTACCTGAAGACTCTTTGATTGCTGGAAGTTTCGGCTGATGTAGAGTGGGCTGAAGTTTTTTCTTTGATTTTTTCTTGCAGAAACCCATGTTTACAAGTTCTCTAAACGATCGAACATATTGAAAAAGTGAGACTTCAAATAAATATAATTCGAATTCAATAAGAAGTACAGAAAGGTATGAATGCATAGACTAGCGTGCAAACGTACGACCATTACAGCTCAAAGTGTGCAAGGAAGTGAGGTTTGCGGCAGCAGAATCATAAATTACATGCAACGAACGAGATTGAGTGAGAGCTGTGAAAAACGAGGAACGGGATTACATAGTGTTAGGCGATCATTAATTATCAAGATAGATGAAATCTGGGTCCAAATGAATGTTATTTGAGCATTTTACTTTTCTACTATTGACACAAAATGTAAAACTTTAATCGAAGCAAGAAAAACTGAAGAGACGCAGCTGAAAATGCTCATCTTAACACTACCAGATGGCAACTTTACGTCAAATAACAAGATAAAGGTTTGTCTTGATGTGCAATAAAACCGCAGGAAACGGAAAAACTTCAAGCCATGCATTTGCGAAACGTTTTCGAAAAAAACGATGTGAATAATGAAGGCAACTGCTCATCAACTTGGACTGAGGAAATGAAGAAAAATGAAAACTGGCTGAGAGTAATTTAGTTAACTGAGTGCGATAAAGTAGCGAATCATCCACTTCAGATAGGTAACGAAAATTGTAAATAATAGGATCGACTTCATTTTCAAAGAAAATGACGATTTCCACGAACAAACAAAAGTCTTTTTGATGAACGAATGTTCAAATGTTTCAATTTGATAATTACATAGAAAACTAGAAGTTTTATTAAGGCTTTCCTAGATAGTTATATATATTACATGCACCTAGACGATGGCATCTTTCACTGAAAATCTCCATTGGTTATAGACAAACGTGTCTATTCCACCAAAATAGTATGTTAAAATGAAACTGACAATGAAGAAATATGTGAATCCGTACTGAAATGAAACAATTATTCATATGCTAAGTGATAGCAATGAGTACCTGAAGAGTCCAGATGAAGCAAACATGATAGGCAACAATGCTGACAACAGTAAACCAAAACAATAATGCAGCAATCTTGAATAATCTTTTCCGAAATCCTTCACTTTTCTAAACATTAAAATATAACTTTTCAAGCACTCCTTCATACTTACATTTGTCCACATACGTTGTCCTTTGTGAATATCAAACATTCGTTTTGAAGGTATTGGTTCAGCATAGTACTTGCAGAGTCGTTCTTCTTTCTCAATCCATAAGCTAATTGATTGGATTAAGGATAATGATATGAGAATTTATAACGAAACCTTGTGAGCCACCTTCCTACTCCAGCTTCATCTTTGGGTACTTCACGGACATCAATTTTTTTAACATGGAAATGAACTTCACGTGGACAAGAACCTTTTAAGACTAGATCAATCTGAAAGATAAAATCAGAGTACGAAATGTTATGAAATCATTTCCGAGTCTGCACGGTGTATAACAGTTATGTATACAACAGCCTTACGCTAAGCGTGTGCAATTCATTTTGATCGCTAGCCGCGCAGAGAGCGGTTGCATTCTCATAATTTTTTGAATTTAAAAAAAGTAAGGTAGGTCATGCCCATTTTTTTATGTTCTTACCTCTGATTGTACAATGTTATGAGGATAAGCTACTGTTACGTCATAGAGATAAGTTATGTAGTTACCTAAACATGAGTTCATTTGAAATTAATCGTTAACTCAGCTTACTTTGACGCATCTTACTTAGAAGATGATAAAACCCGGTAGTTCGAGGATACAAAAGATACTGCAACTGTCTCAAGCCATTCTTTTTTGAATATTCCAAACTCTTAGTTGTTGTCCAAGGAGATTTATCAGTACCTTCAGGGAAAAGTAAGATCTTAATAGAAAAACAGGATTCTTCAGAGTTTTTACAAATTTTTACCTGATAATTGTTACCCATACCAGTATAATAATCGATTGCCTTATCAAAGGAAACCTTGTCAACTTCTATATTTCTTTCTAGGAATACAAATTGGTTTGCTGCCATACCGAACCCTTCAATTATTTTGTTTTCAGATACAGGGGATAGGATGTTACCTGCTCCAGGCAGTTTTTTGAGCTGTGCTTTCAAGGATATTTTGTTTGTTGTGATGAGCCATGGATTCATTTGGTATAAGAGAGACCATATGTACATCCAATCAAGTCTGAAAAACCGTGAGACGATCTGTGAAAAACTCATTGCGCAACGAAATTCTACAAACCTCGTTCTATGATTCATTAAAATGAGGCCCGGCTCTTCAACATCTATTTCATCCCCTGAGACACGTACAGTCATACCAAAAATGAATTCCAGAAAACCCTAAAGAATTGAGGTTGATGAGAATAGATGAAGATTCAAGAACCATTGGAATCGTCATCCAAAAACTAATAGCTCTATCCATCATAAACCTCCATGCTTTGTGGTGCCCAAGAGGAATGAGGAAAAGGAATAAGCTAATCATATAATTTCCAAATACGGAAGTGAGCAGAATACTAATACCGAAACACCACCCTAGTGGCACACGAACCACTGACGGAAGCCACATTTGTCACATTAGCATCTGACTATTCCTGATAATCCTGAACAAATAGGTGGTATCAAAGAAGGAAGGTAAGTGACACAGTAGATGAAAGAACGGTTCAAAACATCCCGTGTTTGTGATTTTTATATTTTCCTTAATGGTTCCACTCTTTCTAGCAATACACAAAATTGAAACTTTTTTCAATAATGTTCGATTTCATTGAACAATGGAAGATTTGTCCTTTAGTAAAGGTGAGAAATCGGTCGTCCTAGCCTTGCCCTTTGTCTCTTCCTCTGGTGGACTAAGGACCATATATCTTTTGGCAGAAGAATAAACTGACTGTCAAGGAAAGGGAACAAGATACCATATTTTTCTTTCTAACGCGGTCTTTGTCTGTTGCTTTTGTCTGTGCAGATTACAGAAAGTAAACGAGCACATGTGTTGAAGAACACGATCATCATCTCGACGTCGTCGTCGTCTTCAAACGAATCCAGCAGATGGTGTGATAATGGTAAAGTTAATGTTTCACAATGGAATAATGGAATTTCAAAAAGCACGGATTAAACCCAAACCGACTTCATTCATACGGAATAAGGTTGTGAATGTTCAAAAAGCAAGCAAAATTATCTATTATTCCTATCGAAATAGAGAAATAACAGTTGTTTTAACTGGAACCTTAGAACCCGGAATGCAGATAGCGACATCTGGAGACATGATGATGAAAACCTGATTTTCTGATAAAATCATATTAATTTCGCCTCCAATATGTTACTAACTTCAAAATGAGTTGCAAATGCTCTTTGATCGGGTTGGTATGAGATCCGGGATGATTCTGACGAAAGAAAACATCCGGAATTTCTTTATCTATGAAAGGAACTCTCGCAATCGCTCGTTTTACACCATCTATCGGAAGACACACGGTAAAGCGGACATGTGGCAGCAAAATAAGGAGTGAATGTGCACCAAGAAGGGAAACAAAAATATGAAATGTAATAAAGAATATGAAATCTGAATGAATATGAAGGTTGCGTATCCTTTTGAGAACTTTGCGTGGAAGAGTGTAGAAAAGATAGAAGACTGACCTATTTATCGGACAAATAGTCCAATCAATATCATGAACATGGGCTATTACCTCAAAGTTAGTACAGGATGTATCATTTTCAAGAAATTTTATAGATTTCAATGTTTTCTCACAAAAATTTACATACCACAAGTCTTCCCTTGATCAAGATTATACAAACGGATTCGTACTTCGACGATCACAGAACATTCCCTGAAAATCTTTTGAGTGTTTGTATCAAATAAGTATTTCCCGTTAGTTTTTCGGTGTTTTCAACGTTTCCAGCTTTTTTTATTTTATATGATAGAATCAACTAACTCCTACATAATAGACATATCTGAGCTGATGAGGAAACAGACTTTTATGATTCTTTTGTTACAAACTGTTTTCGCGCTCAGACATCGTGGGGTTAGCCCGCCAAAAATATACAAAGCCAAGAATTCGCTCAATGTCATAGAACCCGATGTGGGTTTTCCAGTTCTACAAAGAACTTTTAGGAAAAATTGGAGGAATAGTCGGATGTTTCGTAGTATAGGTTAATTGACTGATAGACTTCGGGCTTGAGTGATGTTTATCTCTCTAACAAGATGATTTCGTTCCCATCAGCTGTAAGACACACCGTTGATGAATATACACAATAATTGGTGAGGCAAGTGATTGTCTATGACCACACATACTGTCAGTATGATATCCATATGTCAGCAGAAGGTTGAGAAGATGACTCGTCTGACCCCTGACTTGTTGCTAATAGGTGTAGGAGAATGCGGACATTTCGTAGAATGCATGTTGTGGTATCCGAGTAAGACACATAAGATCCTATATCTATAAGTGATTCAGAGAGTTGTACTTTCTTTCCCATCCGTTTTTGATGTCGGAAGAAAATAAGAGGAAAAGAAGAATAAAAAAGGCAGAAAGTGCGTAAGTGGCGCGCGCCAGGCCTTCGAAACAACGGCAATACATCAGAGATGCTATCTTTCCTTGACTACCGACACGGGGAATATCGAAAATAGGAGAAAAGTTGAAGAGCAATGCAGGTTCATCGTGTCAAACAGGTATCAAACATGTTAATGAAAATGTTGCAATTTTTCTAGTCTGCAATGGCTGTGACTGATTCCTCTGGGTCAATTCCACATTCTAATGTAGTTTTGCTATTCCATGGAGCAACTGATGAATAATGGATGTAAATAGGAAATCGCATCTTCTAAAATCATAAATGGGACCACAAATGAAGTCATTTCCAGATTTAATATTCGATGACTTATTCTTAGTTTGTCTTTTGTATTTCGAAATTCTACACCCCATTTAAGCTATGAGAGGTATTATGAGAGATGGCCACCTGAATCGTAGGAAGTTTGGTATGTAGATTAGGCACGATTGTCTACATCCACCTACCAAACAACAAAGAAAACCGATTTACGAGTCTGTACTTTAAAAGAAAATGAGAAGATGGCGCGAAAGGGTCGCATGCCAGGAGACCCCTGCAGGTGGTAATTTACAGCCAGTTCATCGTTTGCTTGGAAGCAGATTAGCTTACATTCGCTGTTCTATCTACCTGTGCCCGACATCATATCCATTTTTCCTTCTTCTGATATTTATTCCTTTTTATTATTTCACTTCGTAGATTCGATAAGACGAAAGAGCTAACGTGTCTCACACACCTTTTATTTCTCTAAAATCATTAATGGAAAGCGTTTGAAAACTTTGTGTGGTTCAAACATGAGATAGAAATCATGGTCTTCGAAAGGTATCTAAAGCAATTTTGCAGTCATATAGATCAAAATTTTAATATTGGCCACATGCCAAAAACCGAGGGGCGGGGCTAATGACATAAGGTAAATTTTTTGTCGTCTAGACCCTCTTCATTTCATATTGTCACTGATTCTCATTTGAAATTTAGCGCGCGCGGGAGGAGGGGGACGGTCGACAGTTGCAGCCAGTCATTCGACTGTCTTCTCTCCTGGCGTGCAGCTGCTCTTAGGAATACTCTAGATCTTGCTTCTAAGCTGGGTATGTCTCTTAGTCCTGTGTTAGGAAATCATGACTAGATCCATACTCAGCTTGGTGGTCGAGAAATGAGAAATCCTGGGCTTCTCTGTGTCTTCACAAGTATACTAATAGAACGGTTCGCGTCCGGCAGTTGTCTGGTGATCCGCGGTTTGATGTCGAATCACAGCCAACTGTTGGTCGAGAATCTGTTCGGTGTTTGTATGACTTTCCGTAAAATGGTGATGTAAGTCTGAATTGTGCCCAAAGCGTGGCAATGCTGCTTTGGCACAATAAAGGCCGGCAACACCAGTATTGAAACAACGATTTGGAAATACTTTTATTGACCGATAAAATATTCAAAGTTGAGAGAATCTGTTAAGTCTCCTTTGTCTAATCTCTTCAGCCGTGTTGTTACTTGTAGACGCATCGTTTGGTACACTTCAAAATATTGGTACATTTATAATACTAAATTTTTCAAACCTTTCGGAGGAGCTTGCTCCACTATCCTGAGGTTGAGTTGGAATGGAAGGAGAAGGTTCGTTAGGTTGTTCTTCTTGCGAACGAGGTGTTGCTCCACCATCGGATCTTGTCGAATTATCGGTTGGCAAGGGTGAATGACTAGAATGTTGAGATGCAGTTGAACCATTTGATCCTTGAGTTGCTCCTGCGGTGGATTCAGCAGTTGCGCGAGGGAAATTTCTAAATGAAGCTTTGAGGTTAGATAAAAGAGCTTTTGCCTACGGTAATGTTGGTGCAATCAGATTGGTGTACTGTTGCATTTGTATACCAGCGGCTTCTAATAGCGTATAGATGTCGAGTAAGGCTTGTAATCTTCTTTCGACAGCTTCTCTTGCATCGCCCTCCATGGCTGCCAACTCCTCATCGGAGAATCCAGCATATGAAGGTCTTCCAGGGAATGTAAAGGGTGCGGGTGGGGGAGGCGGCATAAACATTGGACCGGGCTAGGTTTATGATGCGTATTAGTTTACTTGATGGAACACTTACCATTCCAAATGGTGGCATGAATGGTGGAAAAGGTGGGGGAATTCCTGGTGGGAAAGCAAAAGGAGGAATTTGTTGCGGAACCCCTTGTCCACCTACGTTATTTGCGAGAGGTGTATCTGCATTGGCCTGAAACAGGTATAAAGAACCGTTCATGATGATAACTAAACCTGATTGTTTGGTTGCGCGGCTCCTTGTTGAGGAGGTTGCTGACCGTTAACAAGTTGGTGAGCGAGGAAAGGGATGAAGTTTTGAGCTAGCGGAGCTTGTGCTTGCTGAACATTAGCTGCTTGAGGGGCAGCTTGTGGATTAGCAGCGTTTCTTTCCGCTTAAATATAACTGTTGAAAGGGTAATTTATGCGAAACTAACCTAGAATATCTGTACGGCATGTCGGACAAGTCTGTTGTCTTTGGAACCAACTTCGGAGACAATGGGTATGGAAGACATGAGAACAAGGTAACCGTTTTGGCTGAGCATCAGCAGTCATCTCTTCACGGCAAATGATACATGTGGAGTCCATGGCAGCTAACTCTTCCGATGTAACGATGGGGAAGAGACTAAAAAAACCGAGAAATGAAAAAAAGATAAATATATAATCTCACTTGTTCATAGCATGGATAGCTCTTCGAGAAAGAACTACATCGTTGAAAGCTTTCGTCAAGGCTCTGAAAAATCTCATTAAAACATGGAAACTGTAACTTTCTTACCTGACTGATATATAGAATGGTCGAATAGAGAACAGCGGTAGTGTATGAAGTTGCATCATGATGAGGGCGAAGAAGCCATACAGGATACAACGGAAGAAATCTGAGAAAAGGTCTATGAGGCGAATCTCAAGAAATTAACTCACTTATAACAAGTTCAGAATAGAGAAGATAAACCGCTTTATTCTCCCAAGATTGAGCTGTTCTCAAGTCATGCATATGAAGAATATATTTTATTGATATATGAACTACCAGAGTTATCAAAATGGCATATCTGAAGTAAGTGTTCAAGTGGGGACGGATTTCATAAGAACATACTCAAATCCGAATATGATTTGTGAGCTAGCTCCTTTCATTAACACACTGAAGTAAGCGTGCGATACTAAATAGGAATCAATCCCACCAAGGAAAGCAATGATGGCTAGAAATGAGTTATAGGATTGTAATAACATACTGATAACATACCTAACATCCGAGCATGAAACTTCAGTGTTATGACAGGGCTTCTTTCCATCAAATCTACTCGATCGTCCGCAAGCCAATGAAAACTCTGTAGAAAGTTAGATGTAAAAGGGTAAATGGTTAATAGTTACTTTAACAAAAAGTAAAATTCCGAATTGCATGACGAAGAAGGGAGAAAAATCGTCACGAAAAACGGTGAAGGCAAGACACGTTTCCATAACAGCATGCCAAGCTCTTTCTGATAAATTCTGAAAACAAAAAATGACTTGCACGGCGGAGGTAAGAACATACCTCGGCTTCTGCTGCTCTAAGATCCCCGAAGAAAATACGTTTAAATAGTTGAAATAATAAATATATAATAATTACAGATTGCACATAAATTACCTAAAAGCGGATTATAGAAACCAAATGAAATATTTCGAACTTACAGCCATACTTGCACTACTCTTGGTTAAGTATACCATGGCAGGATAAAATTGTTTATTAAGGACGAAAGCATTCGCTACAGCAGCTGCAGTCGCAACAAGTGAGCCAACGCCCACTAGGGCTGCGGATACTCGCATCAATGAATTATCTGAACTAACAGGTAGAAAGGAAAAATCGAAGCACTCAAAGATATAAAACGGTCTGTGGACCGATGATAAGAATGAACAGACATATATGCCCATGCTTTAATTGATCACAGATGAACTTGTAAAAATACAGATAGTATACATCTCATAATAAGTTATCACATCTCGTTCTCTAGAATGTCTATCCGCAAGAAACCGGTCAATAAATAAACTCTACAAATATATTATACAAAACATACTTATGTCAAGAAAAGCACAAAAATGACAAAGAAAGTCATTAAAACTCCAAACACTTTGATCATCAACCACCTGTTCTTACTGATGTTGTGAAAGTATTTGACCAATTCCGTGTGAGCAGAATCTATATTAATAGCTGTTTCTTCCACATTCGAGTCTATCCTGAAATTTAATCAGTGATCACTTGTGCACAACACTCAAGAGTAACCGTGTAATCATCTCTCCCTGCTCGCTAACCAAGCTAGCCAGCTGAGAAAAAATTTGCCCCAATTCAGATATCGATCCTTCAATCGTTTCCATGGCATTCGAGCGTGCTTGAATATAATCTTTGCTTTGATCCCGGAAAGAAACCTTAAGAAAAAAGTTAATCTAACAGTAACTCTGGTTCACTACTTGTTGTTGAGCTCTGTATTGTTCCATTGCACCCATGTCAAGCGAAACACTTCCACCGCCATGTTGTTCATCATCCATTAACAAACGGGAACGAACTGAAATGGCAATATCTCAGTGAAAAATCAGATGAGCGAGCGTAGTTTCATTTTCAACATTCATTCGGTCGTGATCGGTTGCATTCAACACGATGTTAACTAAGGAATGCATATATGCACAATTATAGCAAAGCGTACCGTTAGTAGAAGATGAGGGGAGTGACATTGGGACAGGATCAGCTTGCGAAAACTTTTCTCTTCTACTTTTTTGATGCTTCATATTCTAAATGAACAATGATACGGATCTTAATCACATCAACAACTTACTTCAGTACTTATTTCTAAAACACTTTGATAATCCTTACTGACACTGGCAAGCTTAGATTGAAGCCCAACGACTACGAGCTGACTGAAAAAAAAATAGAGGATGGTGGGTGATACAGTTATAAAAACCTGTGACCAGTGCTTTGTGTTTTAAAGCCCTCAGTACGCCGCTTGGAGAATTCTTGCAAAGAAGCGATTTGTTTGTTCAATCCAGTGATATCCTTAATCACAAAGTAAGAGAATGTAACTAATCATCACATACTTCTCGCACAACTCTTGATAGTTGCTCTATTTCACTGTTCTCATCAAACAAGCTGCGTCTTTTAGCAAGCTCTGCAAGCTTTTCCATTTTAGAGCAAGTCATACTCAAATCTCTGCCGATGCGTCTAAGGTTTATCAATAGCCGAAGATATATAGTTTGCAACATACTTGGCTAATTGATTGAAATGCGTAGAATCTGCTAGTATTTCATGCTTGTTAGGAGGTCTGTGTCCATTACCTTGGACTTTCATCTAAAAATTAAGTAAGATTGAGAAGACTTTATGCTTGAGTAACCTGGTACGATTTCGCAGTTGTTTTAAACTCGGAAGTTCTATCACGGAAAGGCATTGTAAGATTGAGATTATCAATAGGGTCTCCAAATATACTTAATTCTGGGAAAACAGGCTCAGGGGTTGGTACTCGCTCTATGATTCAGTATTAAGAGGAGTTAGGGATTAATGTACTACCTGTTGCTGTTGTATACGGAGATTGTTGAATCGATGAGAATGCTTCCTGAAACGAATAAAATCAATGCATGTACAAACATGGAATCGCTGCCACGGAGATAACCATCGCATGAATCGTCATTTGAATTCGGATAAATTAAAGCTCGATAATTGCTAGTTTTCATTTTGTGTTTAAGACAGTGTCAAGAATAGGACGGAGATGAAGCTAGGAAGAGGAAGATTTTAATGACATACTTGCGCAGAATTCCACAATTGGGCTGGAGAAGCGTTGAAGACAGTATTCAAAGGATTGTAATAAGTATGAGACACAGGTTTGGAATCTTTCTTTTTCTGCTCGTGATCCTCGAATTGTTGCTGAGGCTGATTAGTATTTGAGTCGTCAAGTACACGTCGTCTAGCTCTTACTGCGGAATAATAATCCGACATTCGACATAAAACTGAAGCATAAAGTAAAAAGAGTTCAGCAGAAGCAACTGAATGTCAAGAATGAATAATAAACGTTCGATAAGGATTGAAGACTGTTTAAGAGTGATTGGAGGATTAAGGAGGCTCAGTGGGAATATATTGATTATATATTGAAATCTGGTGATCAATAAGGATGTGTTGTTCAGGATGGGTTCTCTTTCAATTTTTATTCAGATTTAGATTAAGCTTATCAAGTTTATACAACTCAAGTAGAACGTCAACTAGATCCCCCTTCTTCCGTTGAGTTTGCTGTTCGCTATGGCGTCAAATTGAAAACACGCAACACGCCGCGCCTGCGCTGACGCGTCGAACCTTATGTTAAAGCTGTTGGAGAAAACGGGGTCTGCAGCTCAATTCGAACAAAATTTAAATAAAAGATAGCTAAATATCCTTGATAATAATACTCACTCAAAAAATTACCAGTAAATGAAAGCTCTCACATATAAATGCTTAAGAAACCGAACGCACCAGACCACGTCGTCCAATTCTTACCGTACTCAAATCGATGACGTCAGTTATTGGAATAACTTGTTTTTCAGTTTCACATTAAATGCTTTCTTCAGGGCTCTTCATGTTTACTAATATCATCAATTATGGCTTAGGTGCACATATCAGTAAACCGCTGCTCAGATCATTTCTTGAAACACATTTTTTTCCCTCAAATTTTGATAAACTTCGATCGAATACAAACTTTTATTAAGCGAACAACATATACGAGAATCTGTTTTGATGGTTCGATATTCAGTAAATATTTCCAAAAAATATTTCTTCTTCTGCCCACCATATTGTTCTCACCCCTCTTTTGTAAACAGTACGATCCTCATATTGATTCAGACTATTGGTCACTCTGTCTTACCTTACATTCTACTACTTCAGATGTTGCTGTTCTTTCTTGGATCATTAATATGCCTTGCGACTGCTCATCAGCAGGCTTCCTTCCCAGGATCTCAACAGAACGATCCTAACGTAATATTGAAGATTTTTTATATCAACTTTTTTATCATTAATAGGTACACCACCAGCAACAGCCTGCTCAGCAAGTTCCTCCTGCACAGTTTGGAGGAGAACAGGCTAAAGATGAACAGTATGTTTGGAAAAAGTTATATTTTATTTATGAATTCTATCTAAGCCATATCAAGGAACATTTGGATGGTAAAGTTGATCCAACTGCCAACATGACACCTGAACAACTTCAATTCCACTATTTCAACATGCACGACTTGGATAAGAACGGCCGTTTGGATGGCATAGAGTTAATCAAAGCAATTACTCATTTCCACTCAGGTACGTTCGTGTTGACAGGATGATATAAGACAAAAAGTTTTAGAAAACCCAAGCCCACAACACCAAGGAAGCAATCAGCCACCACCACTCCCAAGCGAAGTGGAACTCGAGTCAATGATTGATTCAATTCTTAAGTAACACAATATGAGTGGGAGCAGAAAACTAAAAGATTATTGTTGTAGAGACGATGACTTTGATGCTGATGGATTTATCGATTACGGAGAATTCTTGAAAGCTCAAAAGATGAGAGAGGAACAAGCTGCTAGACATCAGCAACAAATGGCTAACCAAAAATAAGCTCATGGTCAAGCCTTAGGTTTCAATTCTAAGTTTGCCATGAGTTTTATCTAATTTCTATTATTGTTATTAGTCAATGCGTTTTCATGCATTTCCGGGGTTTGGTTATCTAGTTCACTTATATCTTTCTGTTCTTATATTTATTATCTAAAGTCTGGTAGAGCATAAGTGTCATCTCCTACTAGTTTTAGGCTTCATGTACTCAACAACTACTTAGAGCCTACCGGACTTCAAAGTTTGTTTCTCTGTTTTCAATCTTTTGATCATAATAGTCTTATCTGATGGAAATTTATGAATAATTTGTGATAGCCCATAGCATAATTTTCTGTTGGGTTACCAATTCTGATTATGATATTACCATATACGATTAACATTACTATCTAAATAAACGAAATACTTATTCACACGTCATAATTAGAACACAACTCTTGAACATAAAACATGATTTAGAGAAGTTGCCCTTGTTATTGCATTGGAAAATAAAAAAAACTCACTTCAACACCGCAACAGGAAGATCCGCATCGAGAGCATTCCCATTCTCTTCAAAATGGCAGCAATATCACAGTCGCACTGTTGAAAATCCTTTTGTGACGTGTTTCTATCTATTTGAACATTTGTCGCGTCAATTGATTCATTCTGCTCATTGCTATTCACCTTATCAGTCTAGTGATGTCTGTGTATGTAGTTCTGCTCCTTCTATTAGTTTCAGGTTTGGCAAAAGTTTTCTTACCCCATTTTAACAATTCAATGGTTTTTTTTCAGGAACACAGGCTGATCGAGGTCAGTTCGCAGGCACTCACGAGGTCCACGATGAAGCGTAAGAACAATTCCTTCGCATAAACTACATTTGAATCATTTCAGTCACATAAAGCAGCATCTTGAAAATAAGATTGAGGTCGAGAAGCTTTCAGAAGAGCAACAAAGGTATTGTACTATTGAACAACCAAAGAATTTCTCAATGTCATAGGTTTCACTATTTCTCTATGCATGATTTAAATAAGGATCAATACATTGATGGCATCGAAATCGTCAAAGCTTTAACTCACGATCATGAAAATGAATCCGGTAATACATTCTATAAGAGTTGAAATGAAAATGAACCAATCTCTTCGTCTCGATATCTACAAATGAAATCTGTTTGTGCGCGCGAAAATTTATTCTCCTATTTCACGTGAAATATCATTCAAATTATAAGCTTCATTTCAGGACCCGGTATTAGAATAGATGATGAAGAGAATATCGTCACAATGGTTGACGGAGTACTTAAGGACCTGGATATCAACGGAGATGGCTTGATTGATTACGCTGAATACAGCCGGAAGCAGAAGTCTACATAATTCGAAACTAGCTTTCATATTTAACAAGTTTTAAACATTTGTATGATCTCTAGATCATGTAGTTCTGATTATTAGGATATTGGGTTTTTGTTAAAATGAAGTTGTTTTGTTATCAGTTAATCAATCTTCTTTATCTTTGAGTGGAAAGAGCTGAGCTAAGGCGTTACCTTCTTCTGCAGTTGGTATTTCATCTGAAAATCAGCTATACAAGAGCTTATATGTGATAGAGCCTACCTAGCCCCAATAATTTTCTTCTCCAATCTATTGTCTTCCAACGACCACTACGTAATAACCCTAAGAGTGAGCTGTCATCTATTTTTTCGGAAAGTTCTTTTCCAATTGGTGTGGATGGAGGTAACTCTTCATCAATTTCCTGAAAGAAATGTCTGCGATGTGAATGATGAAAGATTGACCTTTTCAATTTTGAAACTTTTGATGATGGGTGGTCCTGATTTCAATTTTTTCATTCGTTTATTTGCCGCCTGGATGTTCATCAGAGATATTATTTCGGGGGCTGATAAAGCACAGATATAAGAGAAAACTTTGGAAACTCAAACCTGGGATTGAGTTTATCAAGCTAGATAGACCTTCTGGGTTTTCTTGGGGGAACTCTGGTATCTCTGCATCATTAGGATCACTAATCTGGACATTCTCAGGTAAATTCGATCTATATTGAATCATTTATCACGGCTGAATCATTCGCGAACCTTTCCCAAGGATACTGAGGTTTAGCTAGCTCTTGTACTCGCGTATACTGTGACTTTTGTGCTTCTCTCTGTAATATAGCGGCCAAAGCATCGAAAATTGAAAGGAACGAGTTGGGCGTGGTGGTTGGAAAGTTCTGAAGTATGATTTGGAGCTGACTGTCATACTTATCTATTACCATTGTCGGCGGAAGATTAGGGGGAACTGATGGCATTAAAGATTGAGGAGGTTGAAGCAATGGTCTCGGAGGTTGAAGCATAGGTCTTGGAGGGAAGAAAGCAGGCTGGTACATAGGAGGTCTGGGAATATACATCATGTTGGACATTGGCATCTGGTTGGCAAAAGGTTGCATGGGTGAATACATTCCATTCATGGGTCCCTAAACTTTATAATCACCAAATTCAAAATTATGAGCAAACCCAGAACTGGATGAAAGCGTCAACCTGTGGAGCTAAAATACAGATGAACAGCAGCAACGTCATTATGGCCTAATAAAGTCATGTGTGACATGGATGGAAGGGATTCGAAAATCCACTTGTCGACCTCAAAAACTCAAAATTATTACGAAAGTTCGGTGAAAGTTTCAACGATGCAATTTGCAGGGCGAAGGAGGATAGTTAGAAGATGATGTCATACAAGGGAAACAGTGTATAAACAGTGTTCTGACAGCTTGTTTGTATAGAATCCTGGATATAAAGAACAACCGATCTATCCGTAAGCATAGATGGAAAATGACTTGTGTGTGAATCTTTATTAATTAACATATAAGACATATGAATATGTAAGTACAAAAAAGGAAATATAAAAACAAAGATGAAATTGAAATTTCAAGAAAATCGATCGGTTCGGAAATGGGGAACAACTTATCGAAAGTATATGTATCACAGAGACTGTGTTATAATTAAGACCTAATCTTAAATGATGTCTGAAAATGATGACAAGAATTAATCAAGAATATCAAATGGTGAGAATAAGATGTAGTATAAACAAGAAGTGACAAATTAATAAGGAGAATGGTACAATGAATGGAAAAGCAAGGAAAGTATAAAAACATGAAAATTCTTAAAGAATAACTAAACTTTTTGATTTTCTGAAATTCACTATGTCATTGAAAGAAGACTACTGGGAATATCTTACCTGACGGCCTTTTTGAAGGTCCTAGTATCAGAAGTTCCATCCATGATTGTTCGATCACTATAGAAACGGAATGTTTTTAAATGAACACGATTGCTCTCACCTTTTATGCTGCGTCAAAAAACTATCCTGTAAAGCTTCACGAGCTGTATAACGTTTGTTTGAAGATAGATTCAATAATCTATCGAGGAAAGAAGCGAATTCCATATCCGAATCTCGGATTCCTCCTTTCAAACAGTAATTGAGCCCAAACTATAACATTAATATATAAAACCGAGGTCAATGCAAAAGTACTAACTCCACAAATCTCTGATAACTTATAAAAATGAGGTAGTCTTTCAAACCTAAGGTCAGACATACTTCCACCATTTGTAAGGTATTCTTGTTCCGTTTTTAAACGGTAGGCCCGGAATGTTTTACCTAACTCTGTCTGAAAAAAATAATTTTTTAAAGTATACACTCAGAGGGCTCTACTTGGCGTTTTACGACTGAAATATACTTCGTCCAATACATTGATTGTTCTAACTGTGGCGGAAACCCTTGTGTTGAAGTAATTAATCTAAAATCCGTTAAAATATTTGAGATGCAAGTTCACTTGATCATTTGACGTTGGGACTGTCCCGGATACAGTGGGAATCCCATGTATAGCTCTGCGAGTACGCAACCGATCGACCAGATGTCTATGGCTTCGTTGAAAGGTGATCCCAACAGGACTTCAGGTGATCTGGAACTTATTATCCATGAATTAGACGTGAATATCAACCAACCTATAGAACATTGACTGTATTTGACGTCCTGTTAGAGATGGCGAAGCAGATGACATGATAGCACATCCCAGGTCAATTAGCTAAAATGGTAGAATAGATGAGATCAAACTCCAACATGAGCTTACTCGGACATCATAAGGTGACTTAAGAGCATTTGCTATAACAATATTTTCTGGTTTAATGTCAGTGTGAATGATACCAAGGGAATGTAAATACGAAGTAGCAGATAAAACCTTAGCGTTAAATTGTTTAAACTGTCTGAAACTCCATTTCGTACTTGTTTCCCTATATTCCTGATGTGGTGGAGATCAATTGGACGCCCATCATTCGCGTTTAAGAATGAAAACAGATCGATATCCATTTTTTCCATGACGATACATCTGTATTGATTCCATGAAGTTATACAGAAAATACGAGGAAAGTGCTTTCGATAAGCTACATTTTGTGTTACGAGGCGGACAATTTCCACCTGAAGTATATGATGAGTTTCTCATCCTATAATTCATTTAGTAACCTCCGATTCCATAATCCTCCGATCAAAATCTGAATCCTGAGGTAAGAACTTAAGGGCAAACAGTTTCCTGCTCGCCTCATGTCGTGCCGTATAAACCTATTTGTATATAATGTTTCTCACGATAATGTTTGAACAAAAACCTCAGCAAAAGTTCCTTTTCCAATGAGCTGCTCTATGAGCAGTGGTTGTCCTTTTAGATGGAGAACTTTGCCGGATTTCTACAACATAAACATATTCATTGAACAGCAATGTGGCTACTAACGCAATCTGAACTTCCTGATGAACTTGAACCGTAGGAAGAAGATGAGATGGAGAACGGCACAGACATTGCCCTCAAAACAATTGATAAATAAACGAAAAAAAAATTAATCATGCATGCTCATTCAATAAGACAGTAACAACACTGTTCATTCCTAGAATAACGTTAGAAGTGAGGGTTATGGGTGGAGAGACTGAGAGAGGTGAGATAGAGAGGGAGATAGAGAGGGAGAGAGCGGGAAAATTGAACAAAAAGAAAAAAGGTTATGATTGTATTAATCGATAATTATCTTTACTTGACCTTTCTTGGGTTTACAGTCCATTTTTGTAGCAAAAGTCTTGAGGGGAGCTGCTTTGTATATATCTCTTATATTGAAAACCAATCTGCATTCCCTCCGGCACAACTTCTGCTTGATTTAACGCTACCGATATAAGATGTGAGATATTCCATATTGCGATGCCATTGGCTATGGCTCTAAGCTAGAAAGTTTTGGTACCTTTTCCTAGTTAACATTATGATAATTATTATCTTAGAAAATCGAGTTGTAGGTTCTGATTTTGCCTATCCTAAGAGAGTATCCATTCAATACTACAACATTCCCACGCATTACGATATATATGATGTCCGAGAAGTTTCAAAGTTTTCGAATTCCTAATAGAGCAATGATTGGTGAATTTTGTATCTATAATGTATGCATAATGATCACGTTTTCAAGAAAAACGTTCGGATTTTTCAAAATTGAAGTAATTAATAATGTTTTTGAGTCCATTATAAATGCCTGATGAATTTTGTATCATTCTTAAAAATTCTCATCGTCATTCAAACTGGGAGTATGTTGTGCACTCATGAGATGGAAGAGATGTTAAGCCAACTCAGTATCAATTAACTCAGCCGATGGATACGCGGTATTTGTATTCTCTCTCATTGAATATACTATCATGGATTTTCTTAATATTCAATCTTCTATGTCTTTCATGTATAGTGAAAGGGAAGCTACTTTCCAAAAGTTCCAACCCTATCTATATCATAATCGGCTACAACGTGAGTGTTAATACTGTAGGAGTTCTTGTCCACGCAATATTCATTGGACCAACTGTATATTCAGGGGTCATTTAGTCATTCCTAGTAGAAGTTATCAAATTGTTACTTACAGATACTTTTCTATGATAATTTTGTGATATCGTATATCATTGTATTGGTGTGGTTCATAACTCTATTTCTACAGTTATCTTTAGCTCTCAACAGGTAGGAAGAGCACGAAACCATAAAAATGTTTTTAAAGAGTTTGTGTGGTATTCTTTCCAACTACTTCTCTATTCACACATAATCGTATTATTCTGATACTCATATTTTCTACTCTCATCTCGATATGTCTAACAACAATTAGTCAAAAGATTCTTGTTTGTTGCCAGTAAGCATAGTTTACTGATTATTAAAGTTCTATTGAATATCTCAGAATCATACATGATCCTGTAGCATCTGGGTATACTTATTTTCCTTCCAACGCTACTAACTATGCTCTAATGTTTGTGAATATGCCTGTGAATGTTCTCACAAGCGTCATTTGCCTCATATCGTATCTGACAGTAGGGCAGAAGTCAACTTCTAAAAGTCATGTTTTTTTTCAGTTTTTTGCATACGTTTTCAAAATGAAAATATCTGCGCACAACTCCAAAATGTGGAACGAAATACAGTAATACACCTTTTTCCAGTATAATAATTTGTATTATATAGATTGTGTATCCAATGTGTTTTGATGTTTGTGGTTTTTACAACTTGCTGGCTTACGCTAGCAGTGTTCCCTCAGGGGTCTTCTGAGTGGAGAATACTGTTAACTATATGCGTTGTTATCCTTTTCGGAGCAGACTCATTCATATATTTTATATTGAATAGAGAGGTTACATTCATTCACTCTCTGATAGATCTTTAGTGTTCTGTTCAGATCAAGTACCAATTACGTTTACTAGGGTCGTCTGTTCTGAATGTCTTTCCCTCCAGGTTGATATTCTGATTCTTTGTGTTGCGTTGAAGTTCTTTTCTAGAGTATCACGAAGCGTCTCTTCTTTTTATGTCTGAATCGGAAGTAATCTTCGAATTTATTTCACTTTAGTTGCTCACAGCTTGATTCGAAAGAAAACAGAGATCCCAACCTTCGAATTAGAATATCTATAAATAGATATTAATGTCTAATACACAAGAAATCGTACAATGATTCTTGAACGCTATGAATAGACTTCTGTGTTCATCTTCGCATACTTGTCATTTAAATTTGTTTCCGCTTTAACTATTTTTAAAGTTCATTTATAAAAACATATATGCAACGTAATAATCAACCAAACAAAACAAATCAAGAATCTATGCAGTACTTTTAAAATTATCTTTCCCAACTTTCTTCTTCAAACATGCTTAGAGTCAGAACTAGCATACGATTCCCTCCTACGATTCATTTGGAAAGCAATAATTAACAAATTCATTCTTGAATTGAATATGAAAACTTTTCGGTCGGGCGTTCATTTTTCATTTTTCACCTACGTGTTCGTTGGTTATTCGCGTGGTTTCATTCGCGTGTACAGTGAAAGCTGCAGATCGGTTGTGCATGAAGAAAACGAAAAAAGAGGAAACGGAAAAGAATGTTTTTGTTTTCATTCAACTGTAACATCAAGGAACTTGAAAACTGTTGCTTCGAGCTTAAACCGTTGCAGAACCACCTTTCACCCTTTCTAATGAGAAGATTTGTCATGTAAGAAAGCCTTCTCAAATCTTTTCTTGTCAATCACTTTTCTCTCCTTCATAGCACACAAAAATAAAACAGAAAGCAATTATTTATTGAGAAAGAGCTGAATATGGTTATCTTGTTGATAAGGAGCTTGTTGATGATGACTGTGAATATGTTGATGATGATTCTGTAGAAGATGATGATGATGTTGATGACGTAGATGAAGCGGATGAGTATTGTCTATTAGAATGTACTGACATTTCTGATAATGATTTGTCACTTCCATTTCTGTAAATGGGTAATGTTTGAATATTCCAAACACAGAGATTCATACCGTTCTTCCTCATTCTGAACAGTGTCAGATGAAGCTTCTGATGAGTTATCGGACGATTCATTGGAATCCAAAGAAACGTTATCATTAGCATATATAGAAATATGTTTGCTTTTCTCCACTGTTGGAGGTGTTCGTATATTCAAATCATTATATATCTCTTCCTTCAAGTAATCCAATTCTTTCTACAAAAAGCAAATGAACTTCATGTTATGTGTAGACGTCTACTTACTTTGCTCAGATAATTCATCCAAAGGCGGATCTCGTTTTCCACTGTGTCCACAATCATTCTGTTTGTGTTCGTATAGCTGATTATGAATATGAAACCTTACTTGTCACTATACACACGTCGTTCAATAATAGCATCAAAGACAGCATTCTTAAAAAAGAAGAACTTGTCATCTTGTTCAGAAAAGACTTTTGGCTTTCGTGTTTTAACTTTCTGCGAATCGTATTGTTGATTATTTGATTTCGGTTTGCTTATTGGTCGTATAGGCGGTTCCTGAATAAATAACTTTGTTTTTATTTTTCAATCACTTTTTACAAAAAAAAACCTTCTTGCGATGTAATGGTGCCTGGTAATTTCGGTTTGCTAACAACGTGGGCTTCGCCAGCTCGTTATAAGAACTCGTCAAAGCTAAAGGAAGTTTCAAACTATTTTTGGATGAATTAACGAAATCAGCAAGTTCTCGATGATGAGGTTGTCCAACAGACTGAAATGATGTTCATGCATTCATCATTCACTTGGGGTGACAGTTTTCTTACTTTGACTTGCTTACGCTTGGATGGATCCGCGGAGGACGAACGCTTTGGAACATAATGAATACCTGAACGAGAATATGGTTTGAAAATCCGTAGGTAAATAATACTAACTTATTGGACTATTATACATAGAATAAGGAGGAGATGTATCAACTACTGGCTTAATCCCACGAGTCAAACGATAATGATGGCTCATAATCGTTTCTGGTGAAATACTCCATTGTGAGCTGGATGGCCGGATAACCATTGTAAATGCTATATTAAAAAATATATAATAAATATAAAAGTAAATCTATTATTTTAATGCAGAGTAAGATTCTTTTTTGTAATAAGAGCCACAAGTCTAGAAGGTTTGTATTGACAACTACATATGCGATCCATTAATGTTGCCAAGCAACCGTGTTTCCTACCACATGTCAAACTCTCATATCCCTATTTATCTATTTACTATGTTATTCATAATTAAGAATCAAAATGTACAAAGTGTTTCCATGCAATTTATTTATTTGATCACAAGAAGAGAAAATATAGAAAACTCTAAGCATAGAATGGATATGAAGAGAGGCTGAAAGATACAACGAAGAACTAATAGTAAGCCGAAGAAAACTGTTCACAATACTGAAAATATGCTTAATTGAAGAAGAAGAAGAAAGATGGAGAAAGAGAGGGAGAAATAGAGAGAGAGATAGAGGAAGAAACAGAAAACAAACTTTATCTCATTTACGTGATGTTACGCGAACACAGAATTAGAGAGATCATTGATAATCATAACACATGAGAGAGAGAAGAGACGAATTAGCATAAAAGCTTTGTTGTAAAAACAAAATTATGAGTTATTTATTACAAATCAAATTAAAATGTTAAATATACTTTGGAGAGAACGGAAAGGAAGGGGGGGGGAGATATTGTAAGACGTCCGCAACGAGTGGTCATTCTGTTACACTTCAAATCCGTTTAGTCTTCGAATCGTTTGTGAACGAAAATTCTCTACTCGTCTGTTCGTTTCTCAGAACCTCCTGTCATTTTTAAAATGTTGTCGCTTTTCTTTCTTTCTCAAGAAATGGTATAATAGAAAGTAGAAGAAGCTCCAACTGAATGAAGATGAGCAGCGATTAACTTCATTCGAATGAGTAAGGAGAGATTCATCTTCGATCGCATCTCTGATCACTTCTAATTTGTAACAATCATCATTGGAATTATCTGAATATTAATAAACAGATGACGGATAGAAAGTGTTTTTTGTCCTCTGCCTCTCCTTCTTCTTCTTCTTTGATGAAAAAAGAAATTTAAACTTTAGCTGTTTGAGTGGAATGACGGCAACTTGTTGAAATGGGAAAACATTGAGTATCCACATGAGAAGCTTCAATTTCAATGTCAAATTTTTTTATTTTGAAATCGCACAGACCGTTTTTTTCTCAGTTGCTGCTGCCGCTGCTGCCCTCTTATCCTTCTCCTTCTCTTAAAGTTCAAATTTTATTTTCTCGTTTTGCTACGTATCTCCAGTTCGTCTTGATCTGAGACAGATGTTATGAAACGTCTATGTTTCCTACTTTTATTCATTTTTTCTCGTGTTCATCTCTTTCTTCTCACTTAAATCTCCTTAAAGTCAAGTTGTTCTTTTAATTTATTTAAGTTGTTGTGATGTTCAGTATGTTGTGGGTGTGAGGGAAAAACGTGAAAGCTGTTTGACGACAACGGGTTCCGACACGAAAACGGACTGATGTGCAATCAGTGATGAGCAGATTATGAGAGAAAATGAGTAAAGACTATAACAGAAAACGATAGAAAGGAAAATGATGAAATAAGCAAGAGAGAGACAGAGAAGCAGAGAGAGAAACTGATGGAGAGAATAACTAGATAGAAAAGCTCCTTTTTTCCGTTCCTTCCATAGAACAATTCGACAGAATTTCAAGAAATATTGGCAGTTTTTAAAGTTTTTTTTTTCCCTTTCTCCCAGTTGATTTCAAGAAATTTTCATAATATTTATGTAATTATGAGTGTATTTATTTAATTTTTCTTCTTCAAAAGATGTTCCTTTCACTCTGTGTATGCCTCTCTATCTCTCTCTCAAGCGCTTTCTTAATCATACCTTCACCCTTTATCTCTCTCTCTCTTTCTCTCTCTCTCTCTAGATTTTCTTCTCTTACAATTTTCTGTAGATTCCATCTTATTTCCCACATCTATCTATCCATATATCCATTTTTCTTTGAACTCTCATGATTTACGGGTATGCTTCTTCATCCATCGTCTTCCTATCCATTGTTTGATTATTGAAATTATATCTGTTGAACATCTTCATCTGTTCTAAGATTGTGCTTGTGATCTTTTCTTATATAATAACTATTTTTATCTTTTTTGATTAAAACATTCTCAAGATCTTCATTCTCCGATCATCATCCGCGTTGTCGTGAAAGAACATATCGTCTTTCGTACATGTAATCGGTGATGAACTTCAGCTTCAACATACGTTCTACCAATTCGCACTAATCTCTTCTTTCCCTTGATTGCCCTGACGCTTCCTAATATTCTGAATTTCGAATATTCAGACAGTTGTTTGTTTGTTTCATCAATCACTCTACCTTCTGTTTTCTAGCTCATCTGTCGGTTCAATTATCGATATTTCATCCTCTCTCATTCAGTCAATCGTTACCTTCAAATAGCACAAGAACCTTTTCCTTCTTCTTATTTTTCTCCTTAATTTTATTGAAATTGCTGAGTTTTATCATAAACGTTTGCTGCTGTTGTTGTTATTGTTGATGCTGATGTTCCACCTCTGAATACCTATGCAACCTATCTATATCTCTCTTTCCATCTCATGATCTCTTGTTCCCGTTCTCGCAGCTTACACCTTCTCATCATCTACTACCGATCCATCAAGCATAAACAACCTTTATCATTTTTCCATTTCAGTCATATCTTTTTTCTAACAAAATCGATTTTTCCATTTTTTTTTATGAAGGGAAGTGTTTCGTCAAACATGCTCATCGTTCTCGTTGCCAGTTTTTGCATAACTCAATGTCGCCGAAGGACAAATTTGTTGAGAAAAATAATTTTTTAAGCAATTGGAAGCAGGAAAAAAGTTTTTTTTCAAATGTAAAGATACATCTTGTTCGTCGTCACCTCTCTTCTTCTTCTTCATCTTCTTCTCTGTTAAGACTGATTGTCGTCATGTTCTTCTACCGAAAAGCTTCTTGTTGACAATGGCATTACTATCATCAACTAATCGTAGAGATTCGTCATAACAGAGGAAAGTATTCTCTCTTTGCCTTTCTCTCATACCATACACTCTCCCTTTTGGATGCTTTTCTCCCGTTTTCATTCTTTTTTTTGTCCAGGTATATAATATTGATTGATAAATACTGATAATCATATAACAAAACGTTCATAAAACTTATTTTTGTTCCTATTCCTCTGATCGTTCAGTTACTGTGAATCTGAACAGCTCATTTCATTGCTTCATTACTTAACACATCCCCTTCTCCCTCACCATTCACTCTTTTCATTGTCTTTACTTGATTACATTAAACCGAAAGGTATTTCTCTTCTTTTATTTTTTTTTCACAAACAAAAAGCTTTTTCAACTTCATCTTCAAAATCATTTTCTATTTCTGTTTAAGGGCTAGTGTGTGTGGTCTGGCTCGCCAAATTAGCTCTGTCGTCGGAAACATTATCAATTTCTGTTCCATCACAGAAAGAATCTTGACTAAGACATCGACAACAAGACTTCCTCCGAATTTGGAATGCAGGTCGAAATGCCTCAGGTGATAGCTAGATAATCAAAAAACATCAAAACTTAATATGTATAAAGATGAAAAACATTGTATGAAAATGGATACTTTCTTTTCTCTCAATCATATACTATCTTCCTTTCACTTTGCTTCCTCTCCCTCTCTCTTTCTCTCTTTCTCATCTTTTTGACTCACCTGAATTTTAAATGAAATCTCTCAGCTGTTGTCCAGTTCAGTCGACATCACTCAATCATATACTTTAGTTTTTACTATTCTTTTTTCATTTTTTTCTTATTTATTATATCAGAAATGAGTTTGAAACACAAAAAAACATATACATAATACATAATAGCATTACATAATCTCATTATATAATTATAATATTATAGTGCGTAGCCCATCAAGAAGATCAAGAGAAGACCTTACGACAACACACAAACAAAAAGCCCATCAATCGACCAGCGATGCAGATATATCGACCGCCCGGTACGTTCTGAATTATAAAACGTTTACTTTCTTTATTTTATTTTTATATATTATTTATTGTGTTTCCTTCATTTTGTTAATTCTGCTCTGCCACACTGACAGAATGCAACCGCTCTCTATGCGCGCAGCAAGTCAAAATGAAAAAAAAGTCATCTCATACGCATGTTTCGATTCAGATAATTAGCATATTTTTGCAACCTCTCCCATATGCGAATGAGTTTGATGATAAAACAGCAATTTGAGTCAAATGATCTATTTTGACGATAAATAATGAAACTTATTAAGTTTAACTAATAAAATATTTATAATACTGTTCATCAAATGTAGCCATAATAGGATTATTCATCGTTAAAATGAATATTTTTGAATATTTTTTGATGCACGAGATAGGAGGAGGTGGATGAGAGGGAGAGATTAAACACTAATTTCTATAAAAATCATCAAAATGACTGGTATGTGCAATTCTTTTTTTGAAATATTTCTTATTCAAGTTTGCCGATAAGAGCCTTCTTCAATTGATTTTAGGTAGAATAACAAACAATTAGCGAAAATGGAAAGTAGACTGTTGACTTTTGTCTTTTGCTTAGCTTGTTCTGACCACCTTAAAGCTAATAGATTTTAAGAGAAGAGAAGATTAGGATGTCAAAGACGTTTTTGGAACGTTTAAACACATAACAAGCTTATATGCTCATCATTTGATTTCTCTTCTTCTCATGTAGCTCTCCCATAATAGTTTATTTAACAATCCCCTCAAAATTATCTCTTCATTCTTTGAAAGATAATTTTTAAATATTGTTCGTTAAGGTCTAAGATCGGGTGGTGGCGACACATCTACCGTATCCTCAAATGGAGGATCTCCTACAACGAACACGATCACTAAACCGACTAAAGAGGCCGGTTCAAAGCCACTTCATAATTCCAATTCAAACTTTAAAGAAGGTTTCAATACATCAATACATCTGTAATCATATCTTCTATACCATTATAGAAAATAATAATATTCGTAATGGTAATACTCCAGTTGAACAACAACAGCAAAATTCCCGTGCTAGTTCGCGATCCTCAAATGAAGAGCGACGACTAAATCGTACGGAAAGTTCGTTAAGCTCCGAAAGTGCTCTGTCCCAGGTAAACGGAACAAGTTTTTTTGTTCAACAAAATTCCGCAATACTTTCATATTTTCACGCAAATATTTCTTGTGAGCTTTGTCAATTTTTCTTTTTCTCCTTCTGTTCAATCAATGACATTGAAATATGTTTTCTGTGTTTAGAGATCTGTTGGATCGAGTGGAAACAACAAAAGTATTCCAAAAGCTGCAAGTATCACTAAAGAAGCCACTGAACGTAGCTTAGAAAAGAAACTTAAACAGCTAACACCACCAAAGAAGGAACCAAAAGTATTGTTGAGACACAGTAGTCCCACTTAACACTCTTTTTACAGAAAAAAATATTGTCTGAGAAAGAGATGCCAGAAATCGCAAAGCTGTTACGTCAATTACACTTGGTCAGTAACACTGCTGAACTCGAACAATGGATTGAAGGTTAGCTTTCCGTTTTCACATTGAAAGAGTTATGAATCAGCTTTTCAGGGTGTTTTCAATCGGATGAGTTAGCAGAGATTGTTGGTTCTTCTTTATGTCAGCATGCCATTGAAGGTGGAGGTGGAAGAGGAGTTGCAAAAATCTGTGGCTCTCTCAAAGATTCTGCTTCTATCAAAGGATTATCTCGAGTAAATTTTGCATTCCTCCAGATTTGTTAGCTGGATAATGGTTTCAGGGGCTATTAACGTCAATTTCACAATATCTGGATTGTCGAGATAAACTTAGAACTGATCACTTCCGTATGTGGATATCATTTTTGACATTCGTGTCTGACCTGTATGCTAATATTGGAGCTGTGGATGGTAAGAGAAGCTCACATATTCCGCCAAAAAATATTTTCTTTTATCGATGGAGAACTTGTGAACAGCGTATTTCAAGTATTTGACTATTTGCTCCGCAGCCCCATCCTAGAAACGTTGAAAATTGAAGAAGTAAGTCGTTGTGTCTGTGTCGGAAAGAAAAAGACATATTTTCTTAAACTAATTTTTCAGTTGGAATGTTTGATTTCAACTTTGCTGTCAGTTGGTTACGATTTGGAGCGAGAGTGTCCTGATCAATTGGCACTCTTGAAAGATTTAATAAGGCAAGTGTTGAGAGAGTGAAAATGTCCTAATCATCAGATATAATTCAGAGATGCTTTCATAACTGTGTCTGAACCATGGGCTCGGAAGATGATTCTTCTTCTATTAGAACTTGGAGCCAGTGGTTGGAAGCTTCCCGCAGAAGCTAACGAGTATTATTTCCAGCAAACATAAGAAAAGCATTTCCATGTGTATGTTGTCGTTTAAAGTTTGAAAACAATTTTCAGACAAAAAAAAGTTTTTTTTTCAACATCGTTTAAGCTTATTCTTCTTCTCTCTTTCTCGCTCCTCATGACGTCCTGCATCTCTTGCTAAGCCATGACGTCCTCTCCTTTTTCAAAAATAATTTATTATTTCTCCAATTTCAATCACTTTTCTATGTTCTCAATAGATGTTTCACACAAACTGCAGTTAGAAAAACTCGTTTCAGACTTTTTTGTATCAAAAAATTGTAAATAAATGTTGTTCATCCATCCAACCGGCTTACAAATAATAATTTTTTGGCGTTCGTCTTCCATACGACGTACAGCACCGTTTGACTGATAGGCTTTATAAGGTTTAAGTAACAAAATTTTAAATTTTAAATATCAATTTTGCGGTTTAACATTTTGATAGGATCATTCAAAACATATCATGCAAAAACTCGCCGTAGCCCAGAAGGGTGAAGGGTGAAAAAGGGGTTGGCTCATTGTTCTACTAGTAGACCAAGCGAGATATGATGAGATAGTTCTTAACGCCAGAGTTACTATACATAGATGCATCAGCTGCAGCCTCAGTCTTCGAGAACTTTTACAAAACGTTGTTAACTATGCTCCAATATTTCTGAATTTACTGTTCACGTAAGATTCACGAATGGATAACTCTTGAGAACGATTTTGGATAGGGATGTATGCATACGAACGATGGTGAGCGAAAGGAAAAGCTAACGTTGATTGTTCATCATAATGAAGCTGAACGAGATGCTCTCAAAATCTGTTGTTTTATTAAAAGAAAATATTAATTGTTATATGAGATAATGAGAATAGAGAAAGATATGAAAATCACTGAAATCATCATATCGACAAACGCCCGAACGAAGATGAGAAATCAGCTTCATTTCATTTCCTTGAGGTTCTTATCCATTTTAGCGCTACACACAGATGATTTTCGATATTGACTTCTTCTGAACACCCGAAACTCTTTGATGGCTGGACATGAGGATGATCTTGCATGACGCACCTTAATTATTAAGAGTTGTTAAAAAACTAATCATAATAAATGAAAACATACATGTTCCAAATAGCTATCTTTGATCTCAAATATCACAAATCCTAATAATCGGCTCCATGTGGAATACGATTTATCCTAAACATTTTATATGAAATATGATAACATGTAATCTTCAAGCTTACAGTAACTTTACAGAGCTGAGATATGAGAACGTTCTTGAACAACAGCCATTTCTCTGCAGTGAAACTCATTGAACGAACATTCGCATGTTGACGTCCAATAGCTCTATTTAAACAATAATTATAATATAATTATGCTATTTATATGAAAAACCTCAATATTTGAACTATTTGGTCTGAATTCTCTAAGCCTCCTTTACCCAACATATCCATTAAGCTTGTCATAAATCGTTGGAATTTACCCACATGCGTTCTAAAAAAGAAACAGAGCTTCAAGGACAGAACAAGTTTGAAAAAACAAATTTTTGAAATTGAAAAATGTTATGAATTTTTTTTTTTTATCATACCAAAAGATAACAAAAAGATATTGAAAATTTTTGTTCCTTGAAGTGACATAGAGATATAGAGAGTGTGTAAGCGAGGCTATTGTACTTTTCAAGATGTCAGTAGGAGATGAGTGGGGGGGGGGGTTTCCTTCTCTGATAGAAACAATAGCTCTATTCTATGATTCGACAAAGAGCTACAAACGGACGCCAAAAAATATGAGCTTAAAGAGATCAAAGATGTTTCGCACTGCACATATCAGATCTGGTGATAGTCACAAGGAAGTAAAGATATATGTCTTTGATGCACAAAGAGCAAACCTGAATTTCTGATCCTTTTTTAGCTCTTCTTCTTTAAGATTTTCCAATTGAAAATGAACAGCCAGTTCTATATCTTCAACCTATAACAAGATCTCTGATATGAGGAGAATGAACAAAGAAGTTGCAAACCTTGAATAGATGAAGAAATATTCTTTCAAAAAATGCATATTTATCAGGAATCTTATCAAATTCATCACAAATGCGAGTTACTTCGTCCGGATTAGCTAGAAATACTCTGCCAGAATGTCTGAAAACGGATCTTTGAAAGTGCAGACTGTTGATGCTTCTTTTTCCCCCCACACACCAAAAGTCTAATTATGCAAAAGCTGTTCGTACATCTATGAGTATGTCTGATGTCTCCTATTTCAGGTAAACTAACACATAGATTAACGATCAGGTCACAAAAAAATTATTAATTTTTACAAATTTTTATGAATCTTTTAACATTTTCAATGAGATTGGAGGCGAGTGATTGATTAGCATATTCGACGTAGTTCGCACACGTGGCTTTCAACCCTCATTAGCATAGACAAGCAGTTGCATGTGAATGACGTAGTATGAACGGTTCAAATTGCTTTAAAATTAAATTAACTTTTAGTTTCTCTCTCTCTCTCTCTAACTTGCCTCTCTCTTTCTCCCTCTATCTCTCTCTCTCTCTCTTGAATATCCTTCAGAATAAAACAAGAGCAAAAAGAAATATTTTATTCTTGTAAGTCGGAAATTCCAAAAAAAAGGAAAGGAAAAGAATGTTTAAGGTTTGATGATTAATCGCTCCATATGAGTCTTAGTTCCTCAGTTGACAGGCTTAGATGGATAGATAATCAACTTTAAGCTTGAGCTATGCTTCAAACTCACGAGATGTTCTTTTTTTTTCATCTCAAATGTTCTATCATTGTGAAGCATAAAAAATGATGTTTGAATAGACAAATAGATGGTAAGTAATTTATAACAACGAAATGGAGTTGCTGACGCTGCAGCACAGTGATAAAGCTTTGATGTGCCCTTTGAGAGAGCAAGAAAGAAGAGAGCCTTTTGCCTCAAATTTCTCATTTCTTCATTTGAAATTCACTTTCTTACTTTTGTTGGTATGAAACTTTATAAGAAAATGAGATGGACAGAAGTCGGAAAGCATGCAACGAGAAGGACAAGCAGTCTCTCTTGTACGGAAGTTGTAGTTTGGCATCATCATTCTCGTTTTCAAGAAACGAGACAAGTGAAATAGATTTGTTTCATCTTTTCTCCTCTTTTTGACTGCTCATCGAAACTCGACACATTTTCATCTGATCGAACGGAACATCAGGATGAAAAGCTCTTCAGCTTTTTCCATAGAAGTTTTTTTGTAAACAAACAAAATTAAATTTCAAATAATTGTGTCAGCCGCTATTTCATTGACTTCTATTCGCAGCACCAAGCGAACAGCAATTCATGCTGCTATCAGAAACATTTGACTAGATTTGGATAAAGAATCATCTTGTCAAGACCATAATGTTGTTGGAACGAAAGTTTGTAATTCGTTTAATTTGGCTACTTAAAAGCTGTTTTCAGTTGACTTCCTGAAGATTTTGGCAACAAACTATCATCGTCCTTCTTTCCTCCGCAATCCCCCTTCTTTCCCTCTTCTTGTTCTTCTTCATCTACACATCGTTCTACTGTTTTTCTTTCTAACTCTTACTTTCTCTCCCTCGGTATGGAAACCTTCTAAAAGTCAAGACAGCATTGAAGTTTGACGATATGTTTTACTTGAAAAACAGAAGAAATAACTACCTGCTTTGCATGTAAATGCTGTCTGTACTCGGAGCTTTATGCAAGAGACGAACAAGATTCTGAATTCGAGTCGAATGCATCATCTGTAATATTAGTTTACAACAAAGCTTTTAACATTACTCATTGGTTTAGAAAAAGGCTATAAAAGGGGAAATTGAATGACAAAATACAGAAAATAAAAGAAAATTTGTGATTTTCTGGAGTAGAAGTGAGTGCAGTGCGTCGCTTCAGAACATAAGTTGTAATTGAGAATATAGAGAGAATATATAAAGAGGTAATGAGAAAAAGACAAAATAAAGCTAAGAGAGACTGATTTTGTCGATGTGGAATAGACAATATGGGATGGAAATGAACAAAACAGCATTTTTCCAGATATTTTCTCCATGAACAAAAAGAAAATGTGAGAATAGAGAGAGAGATTAGGGAGATAGAGAGAGAGATGCGAAGAAGGTGGAATGAAGATGAAAGAGAAAATAAAATTGGATTCATTTCCTTATAAGTACTCAAGAAGATGAAGCAAAAGAAGCTCATGCAAGCTAAGGCAGTGCTGATGTTAGGTGTGCTTCAGTTAACAAGCCAGAACAAGGAAGATAAATGGATAAAAGAGGAAAATGTGAAGAAACCATAAATAGACATGGAACCACAAAAGAAAAACAAGTAGCCTTTGAAAGAAGTTAAACGAAAACCTTGGAAAATGAGAAGCCCCATTTTCGGGTATAAAAAATTGTAAACGAAAAAGATTGTTGTAACTATAGATACTACAATCCAATTGTTAGTATGCAGGGTTGCAGGTGATATTCCGTTTTTGCTTTGCTGGGTGGAGTAAGAGGTGGGTGAGTGCTGTAGAGGAAAAGCTGCAAATGTTTGAAAAAAAAAAGATACAAAAATTTAAAAGTTTTAGGAGAGACAGAATATTTCTTTCTGTTAAAATCCTAAAAAGATATAAAAATAACATGCAACAGAGAGAAGAAAGAGAGGGAGGGGTGAAGAGAGAAAGAAAAAGATAGATGGATGAGTAAAAAGAGAAAAAAAACTTAAAAAGAGGGAAAAAGAGAGAGAGAGAAAGAGATAGAGGGAGAGAGAGAGATGTGAATGGATATGAAGGCATGAAACTCCGCCTTCCATCTCCTCTTTCGTTTTGCTCTTTTTAGCTTTTTGTCTTCTTTCTCATACTCTCATCTCACTTGATATTTCTCTAATAGCCTCTGGGCATTATGCTCTAATTAAGGCAATATTATTAAGATATTTTTAGATAGTAAGAATGTGAAAGATGGATCAAATACGACATGTTCAATCTGATACGAAATGTAATAGAACTTAGAAAGCAAAACAAGACAAGTTGAATTGATACTCTGAACACAACTACTACTACTACTACTACTATTGCTACAACCACAAATCTCCACCAACACAAGAGGAATAGCCAGAGAGAGTGTTTCACGTGAAGTGCTCCCTTGCCATCTCATGCAGCCGCCCAAATGATTCTCATTATTTTCCATAATAAACATAATTTTATTGGAATTTCTTTCTTTAACCCTCACCTCTCTTCATCCCTTTCTGCTGTAAATAGCTCTTTTAAGGAATTCGTTCATGTGACAATCCCTGCGACTATATCATATGGTTATGAATGCTCTCTCATCATCTCCATTTAGCCAAATGTCTTGAAAGATGGAAGAAACAAAAAAAGAATTTTTTGCCGAAACGATCTTTCTCGTGAATTTGACCAAACCAGACAAACATCAGACTGTCAGGAACAAGAAAAAGCCCGTCGTCTTCTGCGTCTCTTCAGGTCAGTTAACCATCTGCTCTTTTTGTTCATATCTCTCTCTCAATAAGCACATCTGTTCATTTTTCCTGCTAAGTCTCTCTTATATTGCTCTGCTTATATTCTATATATCTGCTAGTCTGATGCTGACCTCTCCTGTTTCAATTGACCGAAACAAGCTTCTTACCCCTCCCATTATCCTCCCTCTCTCCAATTTTTGTTCTTTTTTTTTCATTTTAAAAACATTTTTCATGCAAAAATTAATAAATTTAGTTAAAAGATGAAGATTGAATGGCAAAATGTTTATCGGGCTTGGCTGGCATTTCTCACTTTACAAGTTTTCGGATCAATTTTCGTTTCATATGCCGGCTTTCACGGTTTGTACTTTTCATCTTCACAAATGAATTTTAATAAAAAATTGGAATTTTTAAATAGAAAAGAAAAGAAGAGAGTAAAAAATAAAAAGAAAAGCGAAATGAAAGGGTGAAAGGACAGGAAATAGAAGATGAAGATTTCAAATTTTTTTATTCATTCTCCATTTTTCAGCTTCACAGCCTGTCATCTTTGTAGGCGGAGAGCCAACAGCTACATCACGTTTTTTTGCTCTGAATCAAGCTCTATTAGGAAGTATCAGGTTGCTACATAAAACACAAACGTTAATCATCAAATCATTTAATTAACTAATTCAGAGTCATACTAATGGGAAACTTTGGAAACGAAACAATTCATCTGTCGCATTTGATCACAACTTCTCTTTTTTCATTTCATTTCGCACTTGAATTATTCTGTTACAAATCATTAATAACATCGTTATATACGATCGTTTTGCTCATTCTCAATGGTAAGTGTTCCAAGTATTAATAATCTAATTTTAAATATTTCAGTTACAACAATCATATTCTTTAAATTACGACATTACCTCATTGTGGCGGAGCCGAAGACCGTAAGTCTCATGATATGCAACCGTTTCCTATCTGCATTGAAAATGAAAATGATTTGTATAATAATTTTTCACGCAAATTTCACGTAAAGCTTCATATTACATGTATTTTACAGGAAAAGCGTAGGAGTGGAAGATTAATATATGCCAAACATTATATGGAAAATGATGTTCTTCCACATCCGCCCGAAACAGCCGAAATTCGAAAATTGAAGAAACGTCAATAGGCATTAGAATCTGATTCTCTCTATGTACCGGTATTGTATTCATTTATCATAATAAACATCTGATGACAAGCAAAGACAGTTAGAATAAAGAGCGAAAAATCTTTTTTTTTTCTTTTCTTCTTCTATTTCTTTTCACCAATCAGCAAACGAATGACTTGATGAGCAGAATGACTTGTCTTGTCCTCTTCCTCTTCTTCTTCTTCGTCTTCCGGATTCGCAACAAGACGACTGACCACCCATACGGCAACGCTAGCCATTCGCAATATCTCTTTTTTGTGTGTATTTTCTTTTCGAAACAATGGAAGAAAAAATAGATAAATATACAGCGTTTTCTCGCTTTCAGCCTTGTTTGGTTGTCATTTAAACAACATTCTCCCTTGAGACAACTTGCTTGGTGACGATTGGATCTCAAAATTACGAAGCTCACTAGTTTCACATACATTACTATGAATTTTAAGCTTTTATTCTTTCCTTCTTTCTTATGTCTATGTATGTCATTTAACTTTTGGATCAGTTTAACGACGTCATAATGCCCTTTAAAGAGTTGTGTCACATAGCTTCATCCACAACATACTAATACACACAACCGTGGTGGTTCAAATTCATTTTTGAATATACAAAGACGGTTTCAAACAATCGCTCAGCAAATGGGGATTCATTTTGTGCAAAAACTTCAAATTTGAAATTCTTTTTTTTTTCTTGTCGCCAAATCACTTCATCAATCCTTTCACTCCTCCATTGAGAAGGTCTTTTGTCTCAGATTACTTTAGCAATTTGCCATTTCTCCCTTTCAACCCGATCAAATTGCCAGTTTCCGGTGGTCCTTTGGGCGACTTTTAACTCTGATTCTTCTCTTTCCCACCATTGTACTTTGTCTTTGTAAGGAATTCAGCAAATGAGCAAAAAATTTCGTATTTCTCCTATAAAATGTGTTTTTTGTGCCAAAAACTCATGATAGGCTTCATCCATTTCATTCGTGGAATTGGCTGCTGCCACAGCTTTTCGTTCATTCGCCAACTTTTTTTGTCTTCCGCCGACTACTCCCATGACAACTTACCTCCGATTGATTCAATTTTTTGTGATACAAATTATTTGCAAAAATTTATTTTAGTTTTCAATTTTAATATTGTCAGCTGCTCTGCCTGACTATGTTCAGCTTTCACCAAGTAAGATCAAACATGCTTTTCTAATTTTATTTTAAAAAAAATTATTCAAGTCATGACGTGTGGCTTTCTTAAACAAACTAACGAGACACCACTTCTCCGAGATTTTCTTTAAAGCTCATGTCTGTTAAGTTAGGAGGTCAACCAACTGTTTTGGCAGCTTTTCTCTACAATCTCTCTCATATGCTTTCTATCTGTCTATTCTCTCTCTCCCTTCTAACGGTTTTTGCATTTACTGGTAAGTTATAAAGAGAAGAAGAAGAAAAATACATAACAAATGAGATGGTCAGTTGTCTCATTGGCCATGTCGTCATCGTCACTTTCAAATGTATCCTGTTCGACTATCATCTGTTCATTCTTTCTTCCCATCTTTTCTGAACGCTTCTTACTGCTTCATCTTCATCTGTCTCATCGCACATCATTTCAAATTAAAATCACATTTATTTGCTTTTTTGATTTAAATTTTCATTTTTCTTAACACATTCACTCATTCGTATCTCTTAGCTCTATCATCATTGTTTTCGTCCATTATTTACGTCGAAATCTCAATTCGCATTCAAAAATATCCATTGAGCCATGTTTTTTTCGTTTTTTCCTTCTCTTCGCTCCTGTTCTCCTCGTTTAGACTCATTTCGAATGCGATAGAACTAATCGAATAATTCATTTTAGAGCTTATTAAGATTTGAAAGTTTTTTTTTCCTCATTCACATTATCCTCTATCACCGCTCTCTTCAAATGGAATATGTAATTCACGATGAGAAATGGCCTGAAAAGAATTTTTAAGTTTATTGTGGAATTGTTGAACATCTGGATTAAACTCTTTAGCATTTGAGTTCAATAGACGATTCCTAATTAGGCAACGTTCTATTGAGTTGAATGTGTATGTGTGTGTGTGTGTGTGTGTCAATGTGTCGTGTGTTCAATTGCTCTTTTAAGCTTATTTTTATACGAAAATGATTATTGATTAGGAGTTTTAGACGTTGTCCATATGATGGACGACAATCAGATTACCAAGCCTATAGAAGTATTGGGTCTTCCTTTCGGCTTTAAGCTGTTTCATCATCGTCATTGTCGTCTTTTCGTCTTCTGCTTTTCCTCCTGACGTTATTGTTATTCTCTTCTTATTCCGTATATGGCTATTCTTCTTTATATACACACACACACGCACACATACATGTACAGCTAAAGCTTTATCATCATCTGCTATGGCTATCTTGTTATCCTATTTTCACAATCCAGATAAGAAAAAAGATTATTGAGTATCTTTCTCTACTTACTCATTTTGTAATCGATAACCCCGTCATCTTTATCCATGCATTTTTATTTTTTGATTTCATTCCCATTCTCTCAACATAGTCAACGACAACTCACACACGTTGCCTAGATACCCCGCATAGTCCTCATCCACATGCCGATAAAGGTAAAACACACAATGAGAATTGAATTCTCTCTCTCACTTACACCTAACAGCAATCATTAACGAATTCCTGAAAACTACCAGCTTGCTCTCATCCATTATTCAATTGAACGAAGAAAAAAAAATTATTTTACATTTGCAAAAAAAAAAGAAATTAAATATTCACCGGTTTTTCCTATATTTTTCGATTTCACTAACAAGCACTCCAACTATTGACTATTCCTTTGCTAATACTCACTACAAATTCGATTGTTTCCTGCTTATCCACGTGAATTACGTGAAAAGCTCTTTTTCCTATTTTTTTTTTCATTTTGAATTTAATTTTTTCGCACAGAGCGGTTGTATTTGTGGTCTTCCGCTGTTACGTCGTTTCCTTCTTCCGTTTCTAAATCATACTGATCTATTTCACTTTCTTTCTCCTTTGTGTGTACTCTATAAGGAAATGAGCATTTTCCTATTTTTCTTCTTATTAAATGTTTTTTGATTTTTTGATATAACATGATGATTATTTATTTCAAGAAGATGTCCGTCAATCGAACGTTATTAGATGATCTCTTATTAGCTGCTGAGCAGCTAACTCCTATCAGCAATGTAACAGCTCTTTCAAACTTATCAAACGATGGTTATTTACCAAATACAAACTGAAGTCTATTTTCATTCCCGTTTGTAGATTTGCTAACGATGGAAGGCAGCGGAGTAGAGGATGATTTCATCAAGCCGTCCAGCTTTCCCAAAATCATATCTAATGATAGCTCATTAGTCACTACTAGACCAATAGTAAATCTGGAAAAAGTCATTAGATTCATAGGTTAATTGAATTTTTCAATTAAACAAACTCATTCCCTTTTGATTTTTGAAGATGCGAATAGTTGGATCATCTATACAGCAGTTGGTCTTCTGACATTCGCTATTGTAGCGGTAATCGTTCTAATTATAATATGTTTATGTAAAAACAAACAGTCAGTTTTGATAAGAAATATAAAATTAATTATAAAAGTTATTGAAGACGTGTTATACGACAACATGATGATCCTATACTTACGAGCGCCTATGAGGATCAATCATCCTGGTGTTACAGGTATTCGTTCAATTCTATTTATTCTTCAACACAACCGCTTTCGACGTCTGAAAATCAAAAAATGGATGACATTGTACTTGTTTATTCTAATATATATATCTATGACGTTGTTCACGTGAAATAATCATTCATTCAGAAAATGTTGTTGTGTAACGAAGAAAGAAGAGAGTTTGGGTGCTCGACAGAATTCAGCATCTAATCTTGACCCATATCGACGACAACCAATTCAACCGATCGCCCAGGGCTCAAATGGTTGGTTAAAAAAATATTTTGTTTCACTTTACCTTTTCTATCTCATTCCAATAGTACTTCAAGGTGTGATAGTTGATTAATAGAAACTCAGCAATACAAAAAAGGGCAAAACACATACATACATATCACATTTCCAATTGAATATTGTAATATGATTACAGCTTGAAAGTAGTGTGATAACCATATCATATAGTTAAAGCGATCTTTGATCAGAAAGTCCATGTAGTGCTCTTATTCTAAACTTTTCTTGTTTATACACATAATCTTCCTTCTTCGCTTTACAGGAACTTTCATGAATGGCTTCCACATTCTTGATCCTGATAATTCGCAATTTGATAAATACAACGCAACAAACATAAAGAGTAAGTTTTTGGATACAACATATGATGCAATAGATGATGATTATTACTTGTAGCGATCAAAGGAGTTCGAGAATACTCTTTACGAGCTGAACAGTATCGTCAGCTGCCGGATCCTCCGACATCACAAACTGACATATCAACATCATCTTCTTAGAATGAATGGAAAAAAAAACTCTTTTTGAGTAAAGTTCTGTGCCATCAATGCATTCCAAACATATTTTCTCTGTCACCCTGTCTAAGTTTTAAAATCTCTGACATCATCATCATCTCTTTCTATCTACATCTCAATCCTTTTCACCTCTATCAATCTCTGTGTTTCATCATCATCTTTCTTATTTCTCTGTCTACCCCTCCCTCTCTCTACATCTCTCTCTCTCTCTCTCTTAATGCAGGTTCCGGTTTTATCTATGTACTTGGTGTATAGCTTATATCAAGCTTGATTTCAGGATGTACTGTGATATCCTATAATAAGTATAGTTTTAATAAAGATTATTTTGTTTTAAAACGAATGCTCAGGTGATATTTCGCTGCAAGATTTGTTATTTCAATGAATTGAATCGAAGACGGAAATTGTATGTTTTTGTTTCAAAGGTTTTTTTGACATAAAAATGGGTTTTTGGCAAGTTTCTCATTATTTTCATCAAATTCATAGTTTGGGCAGAAAAATGAAGAAAACGCATGTGAAGTTTCAAAGTTTCAGTGAAGATGGTCCAATTGTCTTCAACTTCTGGTTTTCACGGAAACGAATTCAGAAAATCGAAGAACAATCACATTTACTTCATTAATATGTTACTACAAAAATATTTTATTTAATAATATGAACAATTAAAAAATGTCTGCACAACTCAGACAGGCTGATGCTTAACGTTCGTCTTGTTCCTCGTTCTCGCTTCTTTCTCATACTGCTGACTAAAACACAGACAGAGAGATGTGGAGAGAGAGAGGTAAGAAGATGTAAAGAGAGAGATGTAGAGAGAGAGGTAAGAAGTTGTAAAGAGATAGAGAGAGAGAGAGAGAGAGAGAGAGAAAGAGAAAATGGAGTTTCTCAAATGACGATGCCTTTTAAAGACAAAAATTTTATTCTCAAGGTTCTTCTAACGGTGTAAAAGATTCTTTTTTTTATATTTGGGAAAAAAATTCTTTTTTTTTCCTTAGAACTAAAGGACGTGTGAAGAACACATGCAGTAAAATATCATTTGATTAAATGTTCTTAAAGACAATGACAATCATTTTTGATATCAAACTTGAACTTGAAAGGAAAAAAGGAAACTACCCATATATGGGTGGGGTTGGATAGGTGTTGCACACAGCCATTCGGACATATTTGTCAGCTACAGTTTCTATCGAAAACTTTTTCTTCTCATCCTCTGACAAACGTATTTCTCTTGTGTTTATGTTTTATTTCATTTCTCTTGAACGTCTATTGTCTTCAGAATATGGGATTGGTTCAATAGCCACTGTATCATTCGTTGAATAAAAAATATGAAAAAGGGAGAGATTTTTAACAGGTCCATAATGATTTTCATGAAAATTATTTATTTTTGTATTGATAAGCCTGATGGATGGGGCGTTGACAAGATTATGATGAGCATGACGACAGCGGATGATAGAAGAGTCGAAGATTCAGATGTTCGCAATCCCCTCTATATACCCCCTCTCCCCCACTCCAGAATATTATTTTTCAACAAATAGTTTTATGAAGAGAAGTTACAAGAGTTTTAGCAAAGTGATCTTCGACTTAAAACACGAAATAGCTGTGATTTTCATTTTTTTTGTCACAAACTGATTGACGAATTAAGAGGTTGAAATTCAAAAAAACCAAAAACAACAGAGAGAAGACTGAAATTTGAGCCAACACAACGTAAGAAGTTGAGAGGTAAAGAGAGAAAGATAATCATATCTAGAGAGGGACTAGAAGTCAATTCAGAAACTTGTGAGCTTGAAGGTTAGAATTAAAAAAATTAAAAATTGGAATTTGAGCTTGTGATGGCTGTTAATTGATATATTGGAGTTCAGCCGAAGATTATTCCTTTTATGGAAAATTGCTGATAATTACGAAACTATGTTGGTGGGTGTAATGATTATATCTTAGTTATCTTATGACTTTTTTTTGTTTTTTTTGTGTTTTGTCATTCAAAATTTGGTTCAGAGAGAAGCCACATGGCTGATTACTGTAAGAAATATAAAGCAAAAGCTGAAATAAAAAAAAAGATTTTAAATATAAAATGTGCATGAGCATATTCTCTTTATTCGGATGGATGAAGCATAGAAGGAAGCAAAAAAAAATGTAACAAAGGAGATACAGAGAGATGAGACGAGCACACGTTTGATGAGATGCAGATGAGTAACTCTTCCTCTCTTTCATGTAAAGTATCAATTTGTGAAACAACGTTTTTCATCTGTTCAAAACATTTAAATTATCGAAACCTTCTTCTTCTTCACCATCATTTGACTGATAAAGACACAGTTTCAAACAAAATATAATTATCCATTCATACTGTAGATTTCGTTTGTTTCTTCCCAGTTCAATCAGCTGCTTGACATTGATTCTAAGGGAGAGAGAGAGATAGAGAGAGAGAGAGAGAGTGAGAAACGAAAACTTCTTAAAATACCCTCTCTAGTTTCTCTGCAAATCTTTGTAACTTCTAAAAACGAACTCCTCAGGATTCCTTTTCCAAATTAATTAAAAACATCTTCAATCACCTTTATGTTTCTCCAATTTCGACTTTCCCCCCCCCCCCCCCTTCAACGCTACCAACAACCCATTCTTAGCACCCAGCCAACCACTACTCTTCTCTACTGTCACATTTTAATCTCTTCTCTTCCATTTTGTGTGTTCTTTCTATTTTCTATTTTTCTTTCATCACAAAATAACATTGAAATTTAAGAGACAAAAGCTATAGCCAGGTACAGAAGATGAAGCCAAAGAAGGTAGGCGGAGTCACGCCAAGGGGCGTCAAGATGGGTCCAACGAGAGAGCCTATATAAGGCGTCAAACTATTCTGTAAAAATACTTTTAGCCTTCGAGTTTAACTCAGGCCACACTCATTCCGACAACTACCACGAGCTTCTTGCTCAATACTTTTGAACAACAAAGCTTTTTATCATTATTTCATACCGTATAAAAGCTATGGCTAATCTTTTTCTGGCGCATTTGCGTCTTGATGAAGCCGAGCTTCCAAGTTGCGAGCGAACACCTCCGCGAACTCCAAAAACGCCTCTAACTCCAGGCTCACCATTCGAACTCAACAACAATACTTTCTGCTTCAGACAAGGTGCGTCATTCAAGTTTTGTAAAAGTTTCTCTTGTCTGGTTTTTGACTTGAAATGTTTTTTCTTCTGAATTCTCTGAATTTCGTCTAACATTCATGGAGCTTTTTCAGGCCCCAAACGGTCAGTCATTTATCAGCCTGAGGGTCATCCTAAACAAGCTGTAATTGATGGCGAGATCTGGCCACCTATCTTCAAGCCAAGAAACGTCAGGTAAGACTTGTTTTCTCCTATTCCTGCTCACACCATCAAATCCCTGAAAATCTTTTTTTTTTGCTTCTTTAATTCGCCGGTTACGGTAAATTCTAAGAATAGGATCAGTAGGTCATGACAAATTGCTTCCATTGCTGGGCTTAGGAATTTTTGCTGAAGACAAGAAAAGCGTTTCTGGGAATTCTCATATCATTCCTTATAACTTTTCCTCGAAAACCTGTTAATCTAGCTTTAATGCAAGTTTGTAACGATTGAAATCAGATTCTACATGCAAACGACATGTGTGGTCGAAAAGTTTTGTCGATTTTGATTATGATTGGCAACTTCTTATCTGCCTTACATGTATTCTTGTGGTTTTTTGATGGCTGTAGCCACACCCAACTCTTTCTGGAACTGTTACATCATGCCCATATTCAATTGATGAAAGAGAAAATTTGCTTTTCCACTCTTCTGTCTCAATAGTGACAATATCAATATTGAAAACTTTGTAAAGAAGAAGAAAAAAAATATTTCAAACAAAGGCTTCTACCATTTTTGTAAAAAAAAAAAAAAGAAAAAGAGAGTTCGAAGCATTTCTTAATAGGCGGGTGTCGTCCAGCACGACATAAGACGAATCAGATGTCAATTGTGTGCTTTTACTGATAAACACAAAATATTTACGTCATTTCATCAGAATTTCTCCGAGTTAGCGAGAGAGAGACAGCCTTTGCACAGAAGTGTGCAAATTTTGCGAAAACTAGTTTGATGTCCCAAGAAAATTACTCAAATCATGATAATCACAGTTAAAATCATATTTTTAAGAAGTGCGAAGTTGTTGAAAGTGGAAGACAGTGATCTGTTCATTGCGACTTATCCAAAATGTGGAACAACTCTTCTTCAGCATATCTGCCACCAACTAATACGTGGCGAGCATTATCAAGCTCCAGAAGGCAACGGTAATTGTGTTTTTCTGTATTCTATATTTAAAAGTTATGAAAGAATGACAAGAAAATTATGATTCATTTGGGGAAATAGAATGTGATGAAAGTTCTTAATTGCTCTACCATTTGGCTAGAATACGGTAATGAAGGGGGTGAAAGATAAATAATATGTTAAAGAAACCATAATTGAATTTAATTTAAAAGAAAAAAGATTTCAAAAGTTGCAGAACAACATCACATGTCGAATGATAATGATAGCGTTCGAATTATTTTAAATTCTTGTCTATAATAGAAAAAATTGTCAAATAATCACACATATAATCATGTGAGGTGAGAAGAAGAAAAAATGTCTTTGACTTAGCAATTTGCGATTGAAACTATCAATGTGAGACATGTAGTTATGAATATCTTTCAGAGCTTTGCGTTCAAAGCCCAATGATTGAGCGAATGGGGGGCCAATTCGTTCAGGCTTTGGAACATCCACGAATTCTGAAAACACACTTCAGTCACATGAATGTTCCATTCAGTTCTTCGGCTAAATACATCTATTGCGTGCGCAATCCAAAAGATTGTCTAACAAGGTATGACAGTTCGAAGACCGAAATAGAATAGTAGCCCCTTCCTCTTTTAGCTATTATCATCACAATCGCAACTTCAAAATCTACAATTTTGCCGATGGTGATTTCAATACGTTCTTTGATCTGTTTCTATCAGGTATTAACAATGAGATAGAAAAACTTATTGAAAAATTCAAATTATCCTCAGGTCAATTGGCGTTTGGAGATTACTTCGACCATATACTTACTTGGTTGCCTCACATCAACGATGATAATGTTCTCTTCTTGCGCTACGAAGACCTTGTTGACAACATGTCAGAAAACATCTCTAAGGTTTTTCAGTTTGTAGACAATGTTTGGCTAATAACTATTGAATTGAAGATTGGTGAGTTTCTTGGAGGCTCAGCCTATGAATTGGTTCAAAACCCTGCCAGACTAGCTACTGTCGTCAAGAACAGCAGCATTGATGCTATGAAGAAAGATCAAAAAAGATGGTTCCCAAACAAGCAACTGTAAGTTTTATACAAAAGCAAGAACAAGATAATGATTTTTAAAAGAGAGAAAAAGAAAATTAGAGAAAGAGAAGAGAGAGGGTATTCACTGAAGGAAAACAAATAACGTCAGAAGAAAATTTTCAACAAAGGTTGTTGTCATTCATCCCTTTGAAGTCATCATTCTAATCAGCCTTTAAAACAATCATGATTCATAAGATGATGAGGTGAAATGTTCTAACCTTCCACCATCGTATCACTCTCTCTCATGTTCATTCATCGAAGTCGCTCTGTCTCCGCTTCAGGCATTGATAGCTGGATGATTTCTGATTCCATCCTGCTTAATTCGGCCCGTTCTGATACACGATGTCCTTTTTGGGTGGGCCTATTCCGATCTCTTGCCACACCCTTTATATATATATATTTCAAAAAAAAAGTTAAACATAAGGAGATGAAAACAAGAAAAGAGAAGAGAGATTCTACCTAGTGAACGTATCAATCAAAAGGGCGTCGACATTTCCTTAGCAATAGCAACGTCATCTACTGGTAGCTGACATCATCATAGCCGAGATTGATACCACTAGAACAACTGGATTCAAGAATAGACTGCACATGTCGCCGAAAGACAAAGGGTTGCTGGTTAAGCTGTTATCAAGAGCAAAATCCGCTTAACTACATAACATATAATTAGAACATTAGAATAGAACATGAAGGGTCACCTACTCAAACTTCCCTGAACGTCCAAAGACTAACTCATTTTGAAAGTTGAAAACGTGTGAACCGGTTGAACATGAAGAAAAACTTATAAACGGTACAATTCAGGCACAAAGCGGAATTTATTCGCAAAGGTGGAAGCCGTGACTGGAAGAACCATATGACCCGGGAACAAAGTGACAGAATGGATACTTTGTTCCGAACTCGCATGGCAGGAACATGCGCTGAGAAGTATGTAATCCATCTTGAAACCTGAATAATTTAAAAAATTAAGCTGGTGGCTTCATGAGATGACTTGGGATGAGGTTTCACCTATCTACACACAAATCGCTCAACTCGAGATTGAGGATGATTTCGAATCCGTATCACGACGAGGTTCCTTCAGCTATGCTCTTGAAGGACCAAAGGTATGCAACTAAATCTGAATAAAACGTTCACCTCAATGCTTATAGGATCCTCATCTTCTTCTCAGTGCCAAGAACGATCGGAGATGCTCGTTCGCTTCGCTTCTATCGACTGGTTATGGATCTGTCTGGTCCATTAACATGAATTAGAATACAAACGCTACAAGCTTCTTCGCGAATCTGTATTCGATGTATTTATTTTTGATAGTATTAGTATCCTTTGAATTGTGTACACCCCTGTACTTGGTGACCCTGCAGAATTCTGTTTATAATTTTGTGAGGGATCAATCTTTCTTTGGATCTCCGTCGCGATCTCTGCTTCATTAGGGTGTTACCCTAAGTTGTTCGCCAAGTGTTCAGCGAATTGTAGTTGTGTTTTAGCAACTTTCATAAGCAAAAATCCAAAAAAAATGTAAGATCTAATGGTCTCGATTATCAATGCCCCGATTTCCATTCAAGACTGTAATCAAGCCATCGTTTAAGCATTGTTCAAACATTATCCCGTTTGGATAACTAAGTTGTATGCACATTACCGCATAAACATGTTGAAGTTAGTTGATGTAAATACAAGTTAACTTAAGAATTTATTCCGGTAACTATTTATCTTTGCTATCTATAACAACTGTAACGGGCCCATCGTTGCTTATCTGAACTTCCATCATGGCCGCGAAAACTCCATCCTGCACACAAAGAAACATTATTCAGAAGATGATCTTACACCTACTTTAACAAGATCTGTGTTGTATTGAGAACGAAGTTGGCTTATGAACTTTCCATAGAACTCACATGCTTCCTTGGGTCCCATAGAATTGTGAAAATCCAATTTGTTGCCCTGAATCCGGGAGGGATTTGATTTTTTTCATTTCTTTTAGTTCTGGTACAAACCTTCAAAATTCCATATAGTGTGAACTGACTTACACATAAGACCTCCAGATTCAAATCCTTCACAGATTTATCCCAACGTTTTGTTTCTCCATCAAATATTCGGGTGTTCAATATTTTCCTAACAGTATACTGAATATCATCGTCAGTATCATCAGTGTGAATTCCAACTAGCACACACAATCCTTTGCCGATAGAGCTAACCTATTAATAAAACTTCCAATGATAAATATGATGAATTACCTTACTAAACTACCTGCAACGGAAACAGAAGACTGGGTGACTCGTTGAATTACTATCTTCATTACCTGCTTACCCGTTCCAATGTATAATTTCACCAAGCGATGATGTTGGAAGTACAAACTACTTGCACGTCGTTTACAACGTTATTCTGCAGACTAGGTGGAAATATATTGTTGGCTTTAAGTATTACTTAATTTCAACTTTTAAATTGTTGTTTTTCCTGATTTTGCGAACAAGAATTGTTTTTTCCATATTATGAAAATGTTTTTTAGATTATCATGGGAGCTGAGGCCGAAGGAGAGAGAGCTTCGGACCTCTTGCTCAAATGTATTGATAATGGAAGAGTCGATGTCCTTTGTTCAATTCTGTCGCAACTAAGTTTGTTCAAATTCAAGTTGGTCCTATTAGTTACTACTTTCTAGAAGACAAGCCGGATTTTAATGATCAGGTTGACACACCATGCTGCAAGGAAGGAACTCTGTTACACAGAGCTGTGCATTTAGGTTAGTACTATCTAAGGACAAAATGAATATGTGTCTTCAGACATTGTGGACATTGTTAGTGCTTTATTAGCTAATGGAGCTAATCCGTGTGTTCAAAATGATGATGGAAAAACAGCTTTTCATTTATGCCGGTCGGATAATGTCAAAAATGCCTTTATTCAGGAAATTCTTAGAGCAGTCACAATGTCCAAGTTCGTTTTATATGGTTTTTTCATTCTTTTTGCTCTTCTCTGTTGTGTTTTTTGGAGTTTCGGGTGGATTGCCAGCATCTATTGGCTCAAACTGAAAAAGATAATACAACAAAGCGTTATAATAATACTCTACATTTAAAGGGTCTTTGTTACTGTTTTGTTTGTCGTGTGTCATATACGCTAGTCCCTTCATACATACATTGCCAGAAGCCATCATCTCCTTTTGAATTGTTGCAGTGCCATTCATTTGAAATTACCTGAGTTTCACAATCTAATAGAGCTCTCCGTTCTTGTACGAATGGACCAGGCAACTTGACTGGGCGAATAGAATGTTTCATTTCACCTGATTTCAATGTTATTTCTACGGAAAACCACTTACGACTGATGCTAACTTGTCTCGAGCTATTCTCAGCTCTAGCACTCGTTTCTGCTGCGATTTGTAATGGGTAGAAGTGCTTGACACGCGGGCCGTTTTCAGTTTTCATTGTGTTTCTGAGAGAGAGAGACGGTGAATTTAAGGAAAGATAACAAAAACCAACCGCTTCTGATGGTCCTATTATTTAAATGAAAAGGACGCGCCATATTCCACGTAATAACTGACGCATTTCAGCACCGTGCGTGTATGCCAATTAATCTCTTCCGGAATACCAGTGGATTCTGTTGATTCAAAAGAGAGTAAAAATACTCTTCTCAACTGGGCTGCTGATTTTTCCACTGTTGATGTTGTTAGGTAGACTCAGAGCAAAATTGACATTATCTCTAAAGCATGCTATTTTTCAGAACGTTGTGTGTCAGTGGTGCAACCGTAGACATGTCTAATGCGAAAGGGGAAACTCCTTTACATACTGCTGTACGTAGAGCCAACGAACCCATTGTTAGACAACTCTTATCATCTGGTGCTGATCCTAGCAAAACTACACTGAAGGTATTTGTCATACATGTTAAACTCTGTATGAATCGAATTTTCAGGGTGAAGATGCTTTCGCTATTGCTACTGCCAAAGGAGGTTCAATTTTACCGTTGCTAAGCATGGAGAAGTGAGTTGTTCCAAACTATAAAATGCTCAAATAAATTTTGTCAGGGTTTCTCGTGAAGTACGCAGAAGCCAATCTGTTGAGAGTTTAGATTGTGATAGGATGTCATTAATTTCTTGTGATACAGTAAATACTCAACTCTTCCATGACAAGTGAGTTTTTCAAGAGCTTCTTTATGCTAGTCCTTTGTTTTAGATTTGAGAAGTATGCTGACGGAAAGCCTGAAGCCTGGACTGATTTGTTGTGGCCTCAGCCACGTTTAATAAAAATCGCTACAGGCCAGAAAGGCTTCTCTTATCCTAAAGATAACAGGTACGATTAGGCTTTTCTTTGATTATGTGATTTCTTTGAAGATTGAAGATTTATTTCGATGATTCTTCTGATTGTTGTCCAAGGCGTATGATGCAAGCCATTCAAATCAGTTCGCCTCTGCTCAGTGCTCTTGGTTTAGATCTCGACTATAGAGGACATAAAGTATAATAATAGTTTATTAGTGAATGGGTAGAATCTTCTGTGTTTAGACTGCGGACCATTGTGCTAATCCTCTTGATGGAACTGTAACTTGTGGAATCTACGCCGATGGCAGACCGTCTGGTGCGTATGCTCTCACCATTGATGTTAAAGGAGTAGAAGTTGTTGCTTCCGACTATGCTGGTATTCGCTACGCGTTTGCCACTTTGGTGCAAGTGATCAGATTACATCGGTGATATTATAACTGCTGAAGTTTCTTATACGATGTTCACAGATATGCTCAACGTAATGTAGCGGATAATAACAATACTAGCAAAGTTTCAATAGGAAAGGACACAAGTAACGGTCATCTCAACTTTTCCATGAATAGCAATCTCAATGATTCTTCTGTTTCATTAGATATTTCTGGAATTCCAATGGGTATCCTACTCTGCAACTTTCATTTTCTCATTTATTATGTTTTCAGCTAATGAACTCCAAGCCATGACAATCAGGGATCAGCCTGATCGATCTTTCCGTGCGGTATTCCAAGACTTTTCAGGATGCAGAGTACTAAACACGGAGACGGTTGGGATATTCTAACTGTATGTAGGAAGTTAACAGTAATTATTTCAGCTTCTTCAATTGGCTACTCGTCTTTCGCATTGTAAAGCAAATTATCTTTTTGTCAATTTCGAAGTTCGAACAACCGATCGATATCAACTCCCATATACGAACAGGGATCTGTTTCATATGATGCAAGTTTGCGATGAACTTTTCGTTACAGTAAGTTTTATCCAATAATGTATCTCAAAAAAATAATTCGTTAGATGGTTCCATCCTTGGATACACAGTCCAACTATATTGATGCTGATGGAGCTCGTACTATTATGGAACAATTCTTAGACGATTTCCCATTGTGTAAGACTGTACACTTCGGACCTAATCTCTCTAGTATACTTATCACTCAACAAAAACGTAATGACTTTTTTTTTGTTTTGTTACTTATCCTTTAACTCCAGTTCTATCTTTGATTCAAAGACGAGTTCCGCGCATATTCCTCTCTATTGAAGTGACAGAGAAGAATGTGGATTGGGTTTGAATACTTTGCTTTACTTTTTTCACCATCTCGATTCAGATCAACGCTCTACCATCATTTGTCACTTTGTGTGTTGAAGGATGTTTTCCATTTGACGCTGAAAAACTTCTTTCTCCTCGGATCTCTTTAGTTTTGAAGTTCTCCACCGGAGATGATGGATACCTTTGCGCAGCTCCAGACTCAACAGCTAAAAAAGCTTTATTAGCTGCTAAGCTGAGTGAACGTGGAACTGTTCTTGGTTCCATGGTGTGTGACTTATCGACAGGATGTGAAGCCATGCCACCATCCTTGTCATATATTTCTCTGTTAGCTTCTGTTGGCGTTGCCTGGAATGGCACCACAGATATGAAAAAGTTCGCTTTCTTGCTACCTGCTATATCTGCACATCATCTTCTAATGGATGGGTAAACATATTACCTAACGATAAAAGAAAACCTTCTCAAATTTCAGAGATATGGTTGGTCTGTTCGATCAAATGTTAACTCTTGGGAGAGTGGAACATCAGCTAACACGATTTGCATACGGGCTATGGAGACCTCTAGCTTCATCCTCACCACAACAGAATGGTGATCTGGAATCTCATGTAAGACCATTTCTATTTCTATCGACTATTTCACAACGCTGTCTTAGGTCAGCGGATTTGGAATGAACAAGCGCATGCCAATATCAGTTTTCGTCGAAATGATCTTGAATCCTGAAAACCTCAACTTAGAAAGATTGACTCCTATAATTTTCAAGGTATTTCAAAATTCATAATGGAATCAGGATATTCAATGTTTTTCAGAAAGCTAGGATCGAGCTAAGGCGCAGTTTGCAAGCATTGGATAATGCTCGTCGCATGCTGCCCTATAACTTTGAACTAGCCTTAGTTTTAGCTGAAATTAAATTAGTAACTGAATTAATGGTTCTCACCAGCAGGTACTGAAATTAATCATATTAGTTTACATTGAAACTGGCTTTCAAGATTGGGTCAATCGCTTTGCACACATGGTAGTAATGTTGAGCAGGCACGTAAGAGAAGCTCGGAGGAAGGCATTCCGTATTCTCCGGGTAGAGTAGGAGTAGCTCATTTACCATTGACTGTAAGAACAGATTTGGCCAATAGGTAAATAGTTGTTTACTTGATGCAAACTATTCTCGTTGTTCAGTTTGTTGGAAATCCGGGCTCAGTTCCAACATGTGTGGCTTTCAAGATCTATTCCAAGCACTTTACCGAATGCGCTTAAGATGTTCGACAACTTGTTCAGGTAAGAGATCATGGAATACATTTATGTAAAATTGTTATAGAGCACTTCTGCCTCCGGATCTGCAGGAGATGGGAAAGCAACTCCTTTAAGAGTTAGGGGAAGCTAATAAATGAGGGATTATTTATTAACTTAATATTTATTAGAAACTTTATTTATAAAGTTTGCTTTAATATTTAATTGCATGTAGAATTAATTTCTTGGGGACAAATGTACATAATTGAAGGATAATAATTGTGCCTAATCGTTTGTGTGATGATTTTACCTAGTTTTTTATTTTTGCTGTGATAATCTGGCGGGGTTTTAATAAAAATAAATTATTTTTCATTGATCATCTTATCGATCATTGAGTTATTCGCTCTTTGATATCTATATTCAACTTTCATGATTTGTTTTACTTTACCTTCTCTCGCAGATGGTTTTCAAGCAATTGTCAGCTGAACTTCATGAGAAGATTCAGGGAGTTAACAGGTATGAAATGCCAATTCTTATTGAGAATAGTTTCGTTTTAAAAAAGTACAACCGAGATCGAGCGTTCTTAAACTTGAAATGAAGAAACACGTTTATGACGTAATATTCTAATTTTTCAGATACAACCCCGAAAATGTCGGAGATCTTTCTCGATGCGTTCAGGCAATGATTACTGAAAATGAGTACGACAAGGATATTTGTCTGATCATTTTAAAGTTGTTCCAACTCAATCCTGACAAATATGATGAGAATATTGTTCGTCTTGTTCTCCAGAAAACTTTGATGGTCCTACCAAGCAGCGATTTCACGCTTGCTAAATGTTTGATCGATAGCAATAGATTAGGATCACAAGTAACACTATTTTTCTTGCTTGCGATCATATATGTCTTGAAGGAAGTAAAGCGAGTGCTGGATTTGGGAGCTGTCTTGGAAGCCTGTAATTTCTCCACTTTCTGGAAACTTATGAAGGGAGAGTACAAGCCATCTGCTGATTCGAACGAGCCTTTCAAAGTGCCCCAAGAAGTACCGAAGATGGTAAAGCTAATCCCAGGCTTTGAGGAGGCCGTTAGAATTTGTATATACTCTTCTACTTCAGTTATCATTCATATTTTCTTTTCAGATGCCTGTCGGGTTATCAGTGTAACTTTCCAGAATGTTGAGAAGGCCGTACTAAGCAGATTGCTCGGAGGAGCTTCTGGTTAGTGAAGTTTATCTCTCTGTTTAAAATTTTATCATTTTCGATGACCAAGTTACTGCTTATGCTAAAAAATTCGGATGGGAAGCCAAAGATAATGGAATCTACTTCATAGCCAATCACGATGTCACTATCCGAACCAGAAATATTGATGAAAAATTGCAGTTCACTGGTGAGAATCTTGCAACGTACCACGTTTTCAATGTTGAACTTTACAGACGTCGCACCTGTTCTGCGTTCTATCCCATGCGTTCTTACTGTTAGAGAATAAAAGAAGAAGCTTTTGTTGGTTGTTGGGCGTTGTTTTGTTCTCTTTCTTGGAGTTTTTCATTTCGTAATACTTTATTTCGTTTTTGATAAATTCATTATACCCGTATTATCTACACTGGGAGCACTGGACCGAATGTCACATTACTTGAGAATACAGTTCTTTGTACATTAGTTTGCGTTGAGGACTTTGAGAGAGTCTGGAGCTCGAATTACCCATTCGGGCCATCCACCGAAATAGATACGAGCTTCATATCCAGCTTTGGTTAATGCCCACCATATCATCGAAGATCGCAATGATGTTGAACAATAGACAATCTGATAGGATTCTTTAGACGTGTATCGGTTTTGAGTATCTTACCACGGGACGGTTGGTGCTGAGGCCTGCATTTTCGAAAACTGTGGCTAAATCAGATGTTGCTAACCATTGGCCAGTTCCCCAATCATAAACAGTATCTACTGGTATGTTAATTGAACCTCGGATATGTCCATATAAAGCGCCGGTGGCTACTCCATGATACTCCTATGAACAGTTGTGAGTTTGATAATGTCAATTTCAAATGTACCTCTTTCGTTTGTGCATCAACGATGTCGAATCCTCCAGATTCTGTGTTCAAGAAGACATCATCGAATGTTATAATCAAGGAATCATTCCAAGATGATAAGAAATCTCCTGGATTAAGTTGCTTTTTATAAGTGCTATCTGAACTCACCCTGTCCTCTTCTTCTAGGAATCCCTGATTCAGTTTTATACTGATGTGATCTTCCCTGTTGTGTTTTCCAGGATAAATAGCCTCCACCCAGTAAAGAAACTCTAGGATGACCAAAAAGCTGGAAAAAATGATATAAGAGAAATTCAATGTGAGGATCATACCTTGAAAACCCAAGCGGCGTAAGTACTCCAAATCACTTGCCCTCTGTCATAAATCACAACGTGACAATCATTATCAACTCCCAAGGAACGAGCATATCTAGGAAAAAAAATTGTAATGATGATACAGTTCCAGCATACCTTTGGAATTGGAGTGGATGAACAGGAACTCCGTTGTGGCTCAAGTTAGAATGGAACAGAAGTCGGGCAGATTCAATGTGATCTTGCTCAAAGGCAGCTCTAGAAGTATTAAGATTGATTTAGAAAATCTTGAGTTCTTCTATACAAGCTATGAGTGGCATCTCCATTTCCTGCCTCGAAGACACATATTTTCCTTTTTGTTATCATCAAGGTCAAAAGATGATTAGGTGTCACTTCAAAATCTGCTCTTCTAATTGTTTCAGGTGGCAGTATAGGAAAAACAGGTTCACCTCCGTTCTAGAAAGTAACTATAGAATCATCTTAATCTTTCCCATACGAGGAATCATTTTATCATCCATAAATGGATGAGATAATGAGAAGAAGAACATACCGTGTAAACTGGATTTTGTTGGGAGAAGAAGCCAGTGTTGTTGGCTCCAATTGTTAAGAAAACAACTAATGAAATAATTAAAATTAGACAAATGAATATCAAGATAGCGAAAGAACAAATCAACCTCCATCGTGGAGTTGCTTTCTGAAACTAAACGGTTAGCTTCAACTCTTATTAGCTGTAGTCACCTTCTTATTGTTTGTGATGGCAATGTGAGTTGGCTGTCTTAACGGAGGAGGATGTGGTGGAGGTGAAGACAATACCTGAAAAATGGAAAGTTCAAACTATATTGGATTAAGTAATGACATGATTGACTTTGATTTCTTTAATTATCATAACTTCTGGATCTCTCTCGAATAAGAAAAAAACCTTTGTTCTGCAAAATGGATATAGTGAAAGATGGTTCTGATTAGCAATTTAGACGAAAAAAATAGAATTTGTAGTTGATCCAGTAAAGAAGAAGAAAGTAGAATTAATTAGTCTTAGAGGACTGAACCAAGGTTGAATTTCATAGTAGCAAGGCAAAGATTTAACATTTCTTTTCTTTTTTTTTTTAGGTCACAGATAACAACTGGTGCGAAAAAGTAACGTCAATATAGAAGGAAACGCTTCTGTTTTCATCAATCCTCCTAAACAAGTAGAATAGGATTAGACAATGCGTGAATTAGATACCATCAGCTTAAAAATGGCAATCAAAAGATAATTGTTATCCCAAACATTCAAGGCAAGGAACTCGTATTGGATGGTGAACGCCCGAAATACTGGACAGTCATGAAACTTGCAATGATGGATCATTGCCCTTACGAACTTCCATAAAGATTAACACTAACGAACTCTCGTCACACACGCTCACAGACACGTCTACACCTACATATTCGTTACATAACATAACAATTGCAAAATTCTTACCGAGTCAACAGGTGGAGGATGGCGTAACATCAAAAATACCATTTTTCAGAAAAATAAAGCATCGTTCTCAGAAAAATGAATTAAAGCTTCATCTTATTGAGGCTTCAAAGACATATAAATAAGCTTGAGAGGATCTAAAGCTTCTATATTTCAGCGCTTTGTATACTCTAGACGGATGTGCTATACAAAAGCCACTTAGATATACTGTGAGGGTTGTTTGGTTAAGCTGACATGGAAACAAAAGAAGTTGACACGATTACCCAAGGAATGTGTTTTGTATTTAAATTGACGTTCGTTTCAAATTTTGTGTCAAAATAAGAAAAAACAGAACAACAGGGGCCGTCGCACGTACTTTCCTCATTCAGAACAACCGCTCTCAATGTCAAACAGAAAGAAAATGAACCTACGCATACTGAATTCTCACGTTACGTCAGAAGAAAGTCAAATTTTCAAATCGTTACATAGTGACTAGTAATACTGAATATCTACTTGAGAACTAACCATTCGAGCTCCACTCTGGCTTGCACTACTGGGCGCAACTCCTATTCCTCCATAGAAGTATTCGGGATCCTCATACTCCTTCTGAGCTTCTACTGTGTTATAGCTGCTTGAATCATCTTCCTTATAACGGGCATTTGACATATCAACTTTAAAATAATGTTTACTAAGGTATATACTTTTACAAAAACCAGAAAACTACGATTAAAACAACAGAGAGAGCGAGAGAAAAATTAAAAAAAGAAAATGAAGTATGTTAGATTGGTTTATTGTGGAACTGAATCAGAAGATTTAATCAGGATTGAAAAGAGGACGGCAAACTGAGAAACCGATAACGGGGGATCACGATGGGAATAGAGTATCGAACATGACAAAAAGACTTAGCTATCTTCATCATTTAAGTCAGTACTTGACATCAGGAATTACGTATATAATGGAAAAGTTTGGAGAAAAAAAGAAAACAGAACGAATAAGCGGGAAGTTTGTGGTCATGGCCTCGGGCAGATAGGAATCTCTAGATCGGTGTTTCGGCTCCTCTTTTACTCTCCTATGGTCAGCCATTAGTGAGACCGCCTCGAACATGAAAAATTTCTGTCTAACCATCATCCTCTCTTTTAACTAGCGAAATAACAACACTTTTTCAGTCATGCTTGTGTTTTAGTAGAAGCAAGGTCATCTAGAGACGGACGTTCTGCGAAGAGTTGAACTAGCTAATACGGCAATCATACTCATCCAATCATCATCAACGACTTACCTAAGAACAAATTAGGTTCGGAGACAGCGCTATCACTCAAATTAAAAATATAAATTCTTTTTATACAACAATAGATCGAACTTGTAAGTAATTCTTTGATAGAATCTATATAATTCTCCTTATGCAATCGAGTTATCAACCATCCCCCCCCTTAGTGGCCGAGAAAAAGGTTCGCCTTCTCTTGAAATTGGGCCGGAGTGCAGGGATATTAACTTCATTACCAACCTATCCAATGAACACTTCGTTCATCTCTCCTTCCTTCTCTCATCATGAACTTGGTCAGTCGCAGCACCAAAAACTAATTGAAAAGTTATTATTTATTAGAATGAAACATGGTAAAACTAAAACATTTACAAATCTTTCGTGTAAGTAATCCATTCACAGCTTTCGTTAGGAATTCCTGTTAGTTCATTAGTTTACAGCAGAGTTTTCCTGAAAGTTTACAACATTTTCTTTTTACTATCATATAGTCATACCATCTTCATGTGCGTTATAAATGAATGAGACTTGTTCACCCACAATCGCGCGCGCAAAGAAAACTTTCTCTTTCAGCTTTTCTCCTGAACCCTCGAATTCTCCTGATCCTTCCTCATTCAGGGCTTGTAATCCAGAAGATTCAATTCCCGAGCCATCTTCGGATATGAAAAATATGCCAGACGCTTCTTCCGCAGATGATTGCCCTGATGATTCTTCTTCAGGTTGATACTCTAAAGTGTCATCTTCCATTCCAGAATGATCCTGCTTAGAACCTTAGAACAAATAATGAATTCTGCGATCTGCTCATACCTTTCTCTTTCACGTTAATTGCTTTTTTAGTCGACGATTTATGCTCTAGATTGACAGAATGTGCTGTACCCATTTAACAGATTCGAACCTTTTTTTGATTTATGAGATTTGCTCTCAACGCTGTCTTCGTCACCCATTGCTTTCTGTAGCACCTGGTTAGCTAATGTTAGTTCTTTCGAGCCATAAACTTGATCAACTATTAAAAAAGGAAAGATTATAATTATAAGCTTAGGGATTACTCAGAGCTATGAAATCAGTTTCTCCATCGAAGGGTGACTTCTGATAATTAGGAAGATTGAAGCTTGGCAGTTCAGTTTTGTTCTTACTAGCTTCTACTTTCTATAACCAACTGTCATATAGTTTCATGTGAAAAACAAAATTACTTTGGTTCTTTCAACTTCCTTCTTTATATACATTCGTCTGAGTTCCTCGTTGAGAGTAGGATCAATTCTGTGCTTAGAAAGATCATTACCACTAAAATTATATCAGTTATATGCTGTGAAACAAAGCCAAAACCTGTAAAGGAAATTACATTCCTCTGGGAAGAACATACCCATAAGTGGGCTCATTATAGACATCTTCTCTTGCGTAGATGCTATTGGACGAACAAGAACTTCAGACAGTAAAGTACCAGCGCTTCCTTCGCATCGAGCGTTGAACTTAGATCGAACGCAGTCCAAAACACAGGTTCCAGTTCTGTTAGGATATGAGAAGTTAAAACAAAGAATATGGTAACTTACGAGCACATATCTTTGCCAAGTAGTTTCATGTTATTGATAAACGAAGAATCACCTTCTTGAGGAATCTGAAGTCCACCCAATACACCTCCAAGCCCAGAGTCTCCAACAGCCATTCCATCAGTGAGACCAGCAGAAATGCCATCTGTAATCACAAACTATATGATCTCAATGAAGGAATTCAAACTTTGTATGGATTGAGCTACAGATGAACGCATAATCCAGTTCATAATGACGTTTTTAGTATGACATAGGTTCTCACATTCTACAAAGAAGGGTATTATCAACGAGCTTAGAGATGTGGTACATACCGCCTTGAACGATAGTAGACTGTTTGTCGATACAGTCAATAGTAGCATTAAACGCTATAAACATATGAATAATTGGAAGAACAGAGCATATTACCAAAAACTTGATCAACACACATGTAGCGAAGTCCACTTGTAATAACTTCGAACATGCTGTTGTCTTCATCTCCACACTTCTTATCAAGATTGATACAAATAGCCGACTCATTATAGTTTCTAAATTATCGTATGATGTTCAATCTCCAAGTGTTAAGAACTTGCAAATCCTTTGATATCTCTCAACATGGCTCATACTCTCAATCATAGCGTCAAACGTTTCCTTCAATCCTTTACTACAATGCTGTTGACAAACGGATAGCATTTTTATATTGTCCGTCATGCGTCCTCGAAATGCTTGCTTCATGCTGCTAATAGGCCTAAATCAACTAATAACCATAACCCTCGGATAGTCTTGCTAACTGCTGTGCTTTTGAGGGATTTTCATCTAGGGGTGATTTGCGTTTCTCCAACATCTCAATCGGACCATAGAGTTTGTCTGAAATGTGATAGCTTTCCATCCTCATAAAGACCTTACTCAATCTTTCTATTTCAGCAATATCTTCGTCAGTGAATAAGATAGAATTATCAGGAACCTGAACACAATATACATTTCATTCAAAAATTATTCTATTTAACTCACGGCATCTTTTGGTTTCGAAATACTAGAACTAAAAGACTGTAATATCAGAAGAGATAAGATGATTTCACGAAACACCATTTTCTGAAATTCAAAATATCTCTTTGACTGTATAAGGGCACAATATGCTAATCTGAATTTTGACATATCACTCAAACATTACAATTCGAAAAAATCAGTGACTTTCGTTTAAATTTCAGGTGACGCGAAAATAAATTGAGTGCAACATAGGACTACAAACCATAAACTTCACGAAAACAGAAGATGATTGATGTTTGACCTTATTTGTTTGTTGAAAATAATGATCTACCCAACTGGTATATAA